TCTGTGGATGCGACTGTGACTGTGACTGCTGCTGTTGCTGTTGCTGCTGCTGCTGCCATTTGTTGCAGCATTAACAACAATTTCATGGTTTTTAACACAAGAAAAGTTTCCATTTGTATATGGCATAGATATGATGCCAAAAGTTATAGTCTCTCCTCATGATATTTGATCCTGTTTCTTGTGCGTGTTTGTTTGTTGCTTTCGCTTTCGTAGCTGTCCTAATTTAGGTGCTGAAATTTCCAGATAATTTTCACAAGAAAGCTTTGCCTATCTCCCATTCCTGTTGGTCTCAAGTACAGTTTGGTACAGTCATTTTTGCCCACTTGTATACATAGTTCCCACCCTCAACGACTTCCTTGGTTCTTGATTGAGTCTTCTGTCTGGTTTCGGGTTCCATTGCCCCCACCCCAGCAAAACGCGAATAAATCAAATGAAGCAACCGTCAACAATCAGCGTCAATTATGGCCATGTTCCCATACATCTCATCAATCTATATAGACTTTCATATATACAATTTCGATTCGGGACAATCAACTCGTTTTTTTTCGGGTGGAGAACTCCTTCCGGTGCTTGAAATAAATCTTCAAATTAAGTTTCTGTCTTCCAGAAAATTCTCCAAAATCGAAGCAATTTTTTTTATCATATTGTTTTTGTTTGTTTTCTTTTTGCTCGAATTAAGAACGAGAGATACAAAAAAAAAGGGGGAGAGATACAAACAACAACAACAACAACAAAAATTGAATGTGAAATCAAAAACGATCAAAATGAGGCTTTTGAGTGACCACTTGGCACAATCTGCGAGGTCTACACCCCGGTGGATGTGTATGGCTCTGTCTTTTTTCAGAAGTGTGTGCGAGGGTTTCGCAAAGAGTTTCTTACAAGGAAGATCCTCATTCCATACAGGGTATCCCATGAAAATGGTAAAGGATAATGAATAAAACAATAGAAGAGAGTCTGAATAGAGCTGCTTCATTTCATTAATTTTTCCTGTGTCGATTCTAGAGGTACTTGACGTATCCACAACTTTAGGAGTCACCCCTCCCCTGTCGGGGAGTCTGAAAAATCGGACAGCATCCAAACTGTTTATACAAAATGAACTCAAATGCGAAAATTACACCCCAAGCGACCAATTTAAAACCATTAAATTATAATTTTCAACTTTAAAGAGCTTCAACGACTTAAGGGGCAGGCACAAGGCACCGCTCAAGGAAATGGAGGCAGGTCGCGGGCCCCAGCCCCCAGTCGATGGGGCATTATTCAATTAGGGAAGACGCATTTGTATTCGTTTGTTTTCGGCTCTGCCAAATGGAGTGCGTTGGATGCCCTACGTCCCCCAGATTTTGATGATCTCTTTAGATTCCATAAAGCGTTGCCTCATGGCGATTGCAACACGAGTTCCCCCCCTCGTCCGTTACACCAATAAAACGGTTAATTTCGAAACCGAGAACTGCATTTGGTGAGAACTGATTCCTCGAGTGTGTAGGTGTATAAACGTTTTGCTCTTTATCTCTCTTAATCTACGCGTTCGCACTGGCACTGGCACTGGCACTCTCACCTCCCACACCCACAGCCCCTTCGGACCTGACACTCATAATTAAAGAAACAAATAAAGCACAGCACAGAGTTGTCGGCAGAGGCAGAGGCGAGGGCGGGGGCGAAGGCAGAGAGCTGGATGGATGGGATGCCATGACCACGACGCAGCAGCAGCCGCAGCAGCAGCAGCAGCAGCAGCGGTCACATTTACATAGCGTAAGCAGAAGACGCAGAGGAAGACGAAGAAGTAAAAGAAGCGACAAAGGCCACCACCATAGCAACAGCACCAACAGGGAGAGCAGCAGAAACAACAACAACAGCAACAGTAAAAGCAAGGTGTGTACACATAAGGTGAGGCAATCGAAGAGAGTGCTCTCCGCAGAGTGTTTATCCAATTACCAAAACTACTTAGAAATAAATAACATAATATATTGAAATACTTGCAGCATAATATTTAAATCAAACATTTGGAAACTCAAAGAACGGCAATGCCATACCCTATACAGGAGAAGCACCTTCCTTGGGTAAGAGCAGCAGCAGCAGCAGCGACAGCGGGAGCAGCAGCACTCTGCGACGAAGCCAAGAGTCATCGTCGGCACTTGTCGTGTCTGGCAGAGCTTCGTTTTAAGCTGAGCGCGAGCCGCCGCTGCCGCTGCCGCCGCCTCCCATTGCCTTGACTTTGACTTTAGTCTAAGCAAAAGAGAGCTTTTAAGCCACCGACGTCGGCGTGCTGCTGGTGGCGACGGCGACTGCGGTTTGGCTGCTGCTTGTCTTAGTTCTTTAAGTCCGTCGTTGGCCGGGCTCCTCTTCAGTTCGTGCTGACCATCGTACCCGTGCGGACGTTCCCAAGCTCAGAGACCCCGATCCGATCCGACTGATCAGATCCAGACGAATCGACTCTCGTGTAGTGTGGCTGCACTTTGCACTATTTGGCTCCCCAAAACAGCAAAAGCCAAGCAAAACATTTTCAAAATTTCAATAAAAATCTGCAAAAAAAAAGATACAAGTGACGCGGCGCGAGTGCAAATCAAAAAGAAACACACCCACAAAACGGTAGCTAAAAAATTACAAAAAAATAAAAAATAAAAAAAAGAGGAAATAATAGTAATCACAAAAAATGATAAGTAATTTCTGTCGAGTGTGTGGCGCAGTCATTGATCCTGCTTAACACTTGGCACTGCTCTGCTCTGCTCTGGCCTGTGGAATGTCCAGACTTTTAGCTTTTCAGTGTGCTTTTTTTGGCTGCCAGCTGGAAGGGGGAATCGAATCGGCAATGGGGAATCGGGCATTGGGCATTGGGCATTGGGCATCGGGAATTGGACTAAGGCGCGGCCATTGGGCGACTGTGTAATTTCTGTTTTCTCACACACACACACACACTCCTCTCTGGAAGTTCTTTTTACGAAAAGCGTAAAACGTAAGGAAAACAAACAGCAAACAACCAGATAGACAAACACACCAGCAGCAGCAGAAGCAGCAGCAGCAGGAGGAGTTGGAGGTGGTGAGGCAGTGGCAGTGCCAGGAGAGGCAGTCAAGTGAAGACAGTGCAGCGCAGCGCAGCGCACTCCTGTCCCCAGTCTTCTGGCCAGTTTGGAGATGGAGATGCAGATGCACAGAGAGGCGCAGGCCTGGTCCATGCCACTGCCACAGTCACAGCCACAGACACAGCTCAACTCCAGCCACATGTGTGTCTCCCTCTTCTGCTGCTCTCTTCCTCCTGCTATCTGTCTCACTTGTGGTGCTGCCGCCATATTGGGTGCATAACGGTGCAAAAATCGCGCTGCTTTTTTTTCTTACCTTGTGTCTAAGTTGGTTCTGTTCTCTTTGGCGTTCTGGCCACGGCCACACGGCCACAGCTCCATACCCAATCCCCAATCCCCATCCCGGACTGGCTCTGTGTGTGCATTGGCATTGATGACGACCCAGCGACCGATAGACCGACCGAGACGACAGCGACAGCAGCGAACAAAAAAATGTTGCCAGAGCGGGGCTCCCATCCCGTATTTCTCCTCCTCCTCCTTTCAGTTTTTGCGGTTAGCCATCGCAACACTTTGCACATGCTGATCGATTGTGGGGAGATCATCTTCATCTCCATCTTCATCTCTTCATCTGCATTTCCCATCTGCATCGGCCATCAGGCGGCTCCTCGCTTGCTGAGTGGGTCAGCAATTGAACCGTTTGCCCTGCTCCGGGCTCCTCCAACCCACAAGTAACGCCCACGCACATCACCTTCTGGCCCCACATAAACTTCCGCCTGTCCGGGGGCTTACCCTTTTTATGCTGACCAAATGCAAATAGTCGTAATCTTCTGCCCAGACGAACCAACACACCCACCCACCCATCCGCCACGACTGTAACGTGACCAGAGGCCAGAGGCGGAATTAGCATGAGAGTTTAGTTGGCAACTCAGTGCCTGGAGATCTTCTAATTCCTAGACCCACTCCACTCCACTGCGCACACCTCACCCCCCAATCTCCCCTTGGTCCAATTTAAATTGAACTCTGGAGGCCCTTTGCTCAGCTTCAGCAACGTCTCTGCCTTCTCCTGGCTTCTATGATTTTTTTATTAAGTTATAAAAAAGCGGCAGATGGGAGATGGATGTTTTATAGACCTTTTTCTCAGCACCGCATAACGGTAAGGCCCCCGAGAGCGCCACATTCTCAGACCTCAGACCTCAGAGCCAGAACACAGACCCAACGACAGCCAACAGCCGACAGCAATCCGAGGCGGGAGACCAGGGACCAGGGACGGCACCAGACTCATGCATTGCAATAAAATGAAATTTTATAACAGCAGCAGCAACAACAGGCAGCGACAACACAAACGTTGCCCAAATTCCAAAAAATATACAAAAGAACACAAGAAAAGCCAAGACAGCAAAAGAATGGCAGAGAGAGAAGGAAAGAGAGAGAGAGAGGGGCAGACAAAGGTCGTCACAGCAAGTGAAAATAGCAAAAGAGAGAGAGAGAGACAGAGAGAGAGGTGGAAAACCTAAAACGGAATACGCTTTGAGTTCCGTGGTTTCAGGTGTTAATTTCCCATTTTCGGGGTTTCCGCATTTCCCCCCTGCGCACACCGCACGCCACTTTGGTGGCAGGTTCGTTGCCTAAGTCGTTCGTTTTTCGGTGTTTTTGGGTTTTTCGTCTGCCGTCTCTTTCGCTTTAAAGTGGAGCGCGCACCGCTCGAATGCCCCCGAACTGAATGCGAATGAGGGGCCACGCCACTAGCCGGCCGGTCCCGGTTCCCCCTCGGTGCCCACTGCATGCCACTGCAAAATAATAAAAACAGAAATTATTATTATTATTATTTCGTTCATTTTTTTTTCTTTTGCTCTTTGTTGCTGTTTTTTGTGGGGCGCATTTTGCTTTGCTGCCCCCTCAAAAAAGACACACAGCACAGCACAGCAATAGAAAAACCCCCAAACGTTTTTCGTTCCGTTTCTGACCCTAAAAGTTCAAAAGTTTAAGTCAAGTTTTCCCAAAACCAAATCTCCGACTCCTTTTCACAGCAAAAACGAAAGAAAACAACAACAACAAAAAGAAAAAAACATAAAGAGAAAAAGGAAAAACCATATATTAACGACTGCAACGAGGAGTACCAGTAAAAACCTCAACAGATCTCAACGGAAAGCCACACACAGCAACTGCAACAGCAGCAACAAAAAAAGAGAGTCTTCTTTGGCCTGCAACTGCAACCGATCCCCGAGGCAGCAGCAGCGCTTCTCTGGGAGCTTCAAGAAGCGGCACAATGACAGCGACTGCGACAGCAGCGTTCGCGTCAGCATCAGCAGCAGCATCGGCATCAGCATCGGCGAGAAAGCAACCTGCAACAATCGCAATGCTCAATGGAAACGCTTTTACGGTTAAGCGGCTCTTAGCGGTAAGTGAACTCAACTCACCATTTTGCACCCCCTTTCAGGGCGTTGCCAATTTAAATTGCTCCACAAAAAAAAAAAAAAACATCCACAAACGAAGCGAAATGAAATGAAATAAAATAAATGTTTGTCAACTGCTGCGTCGATCCATTGTTAATGGCAGCAGCGCAACAGCAGCTCTCTACAATCATCTTTTTTATACCCGTACTCAAAAAAGAGTTAAGGGGTATATTAGATTTGTGGTAAAAGTGGATGTGTGTAACGCAGAGAAGGAAACGTTTCCGACCCCATAAAGTATATATATCTTGATCAGCATCAATAGCCGAGTCGATAGAGCCATGTCTGCTGTCCGTCTGTCCGTCTGTCCGCTGTCCGTCTGTCTGTCTGTCCGTCTTGTTGAGCGCCTAGACTCAGAGACTATAAGGCTAGGGCAACCAAATTTGGTTTCCACACTCATGTGATATCACACTGCTACAAGTGTATTCAAATTTCGCCCCGCCCCCTTCCGCCCCCACAAAGGACGAAAACTGTGGCAGGCACATTTTTAAAGATACGATAAACTAAACGCAGTATCGTAAGATGCCCATACCACCAGACTGCCGAATCTGAATCAGATCGGATCATAATTATAGCCAGAATGAAGAAATTAATTTTCAGTTGCTTCCCCTGTCCCCCCTCCCGACGACGACAACGCATCTCATTTTCCTTCTCGCTCGCACACTCTGCCGCGTTCAGTGCGCGAGCAACCCCTAGCGGAGGAGATGTAGAATCTAAATGGAGCATGTACATTGTACAATCTACATGTTAGATGTAGAATATACATTGTAGATGTAGATGTAGATATCAGATGTAGCAAAAAAATGTAAAATGTAAAATTTTTTTTTTTCTAAAATTCTAAAAAATCATAAGATCAAAAATGTATATACTGACTGAGTACGGGTATAAGTAGAGTCGCGTCCCCAGAAGCGACTCGCACGTTCCTTCTCGTTTTTTTTGGTTTTGGTTTTGTTTTTTGGCACAACTCTTCTTTTCTGGTGTGGTGTGGGCTGCCGCCTGCCGTCTGCTGGCTGCTGCCTGCTTTGGCACTTCAATCGTGGGCCGCGCGCGTTCTTTTCTTTCTGTTTAAAGAGCTGTGAAGTCGGCCATTGGGTCAAATAGTTGCTGATAGATGGATAGGAGGCAGTACGCCCCGCAGATGATGTTCCTCCATCGTGATGATGATGATGATGTACCATCGGTTGGGGGTCTCTTCGCTTCACTTCTTCAATCTGAGAGTAATGTGGGCAAATTAATCTAATAAAAGGTGGGAGTTCTTTTTTTCTCTTTTTCCATTTTTTTTTCTTTTCTTTTTGCTCTCTGGCGCTGCATTAACGCGGAATGAATGAATTATTTGGTTCATAAAATTTCATTGCCCGACACTTAATCATTATTATGGGCCATGGGTACGTGTACGTGTACTATTCATAGAGAGTGTTTCCTTTCTGCTCGCTGGGAACTAGTTTGCCTATAAATAGATGGATGCTTCTATTGAATTGGTTGACTCTTTTTATGGATTCATTAGCGGCGGGAAAGCAAACAAAAAGAAACATCAAAGCCGAGGAAGTTGCGGAAATTTTATGGAATTTATTATGTTTTAGGGCTCTGGCTGGAGCGGCTCTCTTTTCTGAGTTTCTCCGTTTTATCTTTCCATTACTTTTCCATATAATCCAATGCATTTTTCATCTCATCTCAAAGAACTTTGCCCAGGTATTGGGGGGCTTAACACGTTCTGCCTTTGGCCAACAAACAATTTATCCATTTCAATGTTCTGTGTTCTGGTCAGCCCCAAAGCACCCAAAGCCCCTCAAGTGCATTCATCTTGGGCCTCCATGTTGGACTGGAGGCTGCTCCACCTGCATTTGGCCTGCCCGGCCAAAGGTCAGCAGACAGTATGGCGCCCGACGATCATTAAAAAAAAAAAGTACGAAAGTAATTTGTAAAACACGAAAAATTATTTATCTTTTTTTTTTTTTTGCTGGCTGCTGCTCCTGCTGCCGTTGCTGCTGAAGCTGCTGCTGCGGCTGCTGTTCTTGCTGTTCTTTTACGATTCTAAATTACAATGACCGAACGGGCAAGAGCAACAAGCAACAAGCAACAGAAAATGCAACTGCAACTGCAACGGCAACGGGTCTTCATTAGCACAGAAGACCGACAGCCGCCGCCGCGTATTGTACAAATTCTTGGCCATAAACCCAAAAACATAAAAAAACACAGGAAGAAGAAAAAAAAATAACAGAAAAATAAATAAGCCAGCGACAGAGGAGAATCGGAGAGGCAAAGCGAAGCAGAGAATCCGTAGGAGAGATGCATTCTTCGGCCGCTTGATGAATGATGTTTTGGCAGCTTTAAAGACCATCTGCACGGACAGGCGGACATTTGGCCAAGAGATGGAAGATGAATGGCCAGGCGGAGGATTACAAATTGCCGGGTGGACAAGGCCTGACGGTTATTAGCCTGCGCGGTATCCTCTGCTGTAAAGCATCCTCTTCTGCATACAATATTCCCCTCTCTTTTTTTTGTTTTGTTGAGCCCCCTTCCGAAAGGTTGTCAAATCTGGCCAAAACAATAAGCTGGCAATGAAAGTAACTTGGCTTTTATTTATTGGGTCAATAGACAGACGCAGACACACACACACACATCACAATCTAATGGGGCACATTCTCTGTTGGCCTGCCTCTCTATCTCTCTCTCTTGCTCCATTCTACGCGTATCTCGTGCTCGAAAGCCTCTTGAAAGCGTAATTAAACAATTTCTTCTCATTCTTTATTGACATTTTATTGATGCCGTCAGTTCCATTTCATTCGTATTGGCTTTTCGATTCAGGTTCTAAGCCTCAGCCTCAGTCGCTGTTTCTGTTTCAGTCCGCGATACTTTTACCCACTTCAAGTGGCTCGGATCTCATTTGTTTTTTATTCTTTCTATTGATCTTACGAGTGATCCATTGAGTGTTTTTCCTTATGACTTTTTAACAATCTTTGGCACCTTGGAGTGCCGTAAATCTGTGCGTTGTTTGAGTGGCAAAATGATCTTCAGAGATTCGAAAATAAAAACACTTTTATTTGTAGATAGAAATGGTTAATTACGGCAATAGCAATTGAGTTTGTGTATAGAATTATCCATTGGAATAGTTAAATTTTTCGAGGTATTCGCATTCCCGTTGGTTATCAGTGGAATTTTTAATATTTTCCATTCTTTAAATATCATTTAATTGCAAGTATAAGAGAAAGATTTACTCCCCCCATCATTATGCATATGTAATGTATGTAATGTATATGTATGATTGTAATTCCCGAAAATTACTTAGTTTTCCAAGAATCATGGAATGGCTACACATCTTCATTTATCACAATCAGCGACGGGGCCAAAAAGGATTCTTGGGATGGCAACAAAGTTGCCCCCTTCTGCGTATAGTTGCCACCAAATGATTCAGCGTGTAACTGTGGTTTTAATGTCTCAACTTGTACAATTTTGCACAGATATCAGAGATAGAGAGAGCGAGAGAGAGGCGTCTCGGATTGCGTGACTGTGGAATTGGCATTCAAATTGCAGAATTCTTACCAATTAGCGGCTGGGGCTGGAGCTGGAGCTGTGGCTGACCAAGGGGAATTCCCCCCGACGCAAACTTTATGTAATCATTGAATTTAATGCGTTAACCAAAATCTGAAGCGGGGGTGTGGCAACGGCTGGGTAGGTGCAGAGTACCGTTGCTCAGTATGCAAAAGAATAGAACCCGAAACCGAAACCCAGTTACCCAACTCTATCGCTGTATCTGTGTATCTATGTATCTGCTTCGGTTAGGTAATGCCCCAGAGACGAACGAGCGCTCAAGAGCCAGATTCCAGATACCAGAGCCCAAGACCCAGAGACCATAATTAATGGCGTGTGGCGCTCATTCGCGATGAGCAGAAAGTACATTGCACTCTCTGCTTGCCACAAAATTCAGCTTATTTATTAGCCAACAACATAGCAGAGCAGAGCAGAGCAGAGCAGATCAGAGGCACAGTGAACAAAATAACCTACACAAAAGATCCAGCAGCATGAAGCGTACGGGGAGGCAGCGTACGGGGAGCTTCGTCTTCCTTGGGTAGTGGGTTCTCCCTTGGTTTTTGTTTCGGTTTCTTGTTGTGTGTTTTTTTTTTAATTATAGATCCCAAGTACGTACTTCCCCTGCCACAGTCCACAGTCCAGCACTCCCTACCCTACGCCCCTGGGGGCGTGTGCTTGGTGTTCAGGCAACTGTTAATTTTGTTTTACAACTTGCGACTCGTATCGCTATAGCATCTAAGTATCACGTATCTCTCTCTCTCTCTCTCTCTCTCTCTACCTCTACCCCACTCGAGGTAACTGTGTCTATGCCCCATACGCCAGAGCTGATACACTTACTCGTACACCCATGCGGTATTTCATTCATAAAATAGACTTCAGCAACTGCGCCGATTACTGCCGATTAGAGCCGTTTTTTGTAGCTTTTTGTGGTTTTGTTTTTGTAGCTTTTTGTGTCGGCTACGAAATATTCCGTGCATTCAAGCAATTTGTTTTTTTATTTTGTATCTTTTTTTTTTTTTGGTTGTAAGAATCTCTGAACAAGAGTTTGTGGCCAAGATCCATGTTGCTGGCCAATTTGTTGGCTCGTTTCAGTTAAGTTCAGGTCTTTCGGCATTACTTAATCATAGCTTAGGCCAAGCTAAGCAGCTAATTGAATAGCGAATTTATTCACATTAAATTGAATAATAAAGAAGAGCTTTTGGGCATAGCTAAAAATTTGCTAGAATATAAGCTAGAATTCTGGAAAAAAAGCTGTGCAAGTTCTGCTAGATTCCATTAGAATTATAATTTGTGGAAACTTTAGATTGAGGGATAGGAAATATCATGAATTCTTTTGGAGTAAAAGTCTTTTGCACCCTCTGCAAACATTCCCAAATGAGAGATAGATCTGCCAAGCAAATGCACTTAATATTCTGTATCCCTTTTTTAATCCACAAACATTTGTTGTGCTTCCTTTTTTCAGCTTCTCATCATCTTCACAGTGCTGCACAGGAGTGAGGCCCTGGAGCTGGGCGACAAGTGCCAGCACGACATGGACTGTACAGATTTCATCAAGGGCTCCAGCTGCTCGGCCCTGGGCTACTGCGAGTGTGCGCCATATTTTGTTCAATTGAATTCCAAGCGCTGTTTGTCATGTAAGTAGGCAATGTCAATCTTTGGATGGCCCCAAAACATCACAAAAAAAAAGATGCAGAGAGTGGGAGTGGCATGTGGCATGTGGCATTTGGCTGCATGGGGACATGGACAAACATTGGACGAAAGAATGTTTGCCTGTTTGTGGGCAAACAATGGGCTGAAGGAGGGGGTGGGGGGCCGGAATCCATATGTTTGTCCATGCCAAGAACCGTTAACACAACTCGCCTCGGACTCGCCTCGCCTCGACTCTCACTCTGTCGTATCTTTTGGATGCATTTCGCTGACTGTTTCTCTCTCTCTTCTCTTTTTCTGTGTCTCTTTTTGCCACAGCCCAACTGCTAGGCGGCGACTGTCAGCTGAGCGAGCAGTGCTCGATGAAGGTGGCCAACAGCAGCTGCCTGGATGGGGCATGCCGCTGCGTCGAGGGATTCTTGCAGTTCCGCAAGCACACCTGTCTGGGACGTAAGTATCTGGCGACCGTTGGCCAGCAACTCTTGTGGCCCTAAGCCGGGGGTAAACACTAGCACGCCACGCGATCTTCCAACATTAAACATTAACTCTTAATAATATCATTAACTGTTCGTTTCGGTGTTTTGTTTTTGTTTTTGTTGGATGTTGCAATAAACGAACGCAGCTCTGGCCACAGATGCAGACGAATCACAAACGAATCATCTCTCTTTGATTGCTTATCATTTTTCCTCTCTGCCTACTCTATTCGTTCCATGGAATGTCACGCAATGTGGCAGCAACATTTCCTGTGTTTGCAGGCGCAGAGTTTTCCTTTCTTTAGCCGCACAGCCAGCCGCACAGCCAGCCGCAGAGCAGGCACTTTTCTGCCACTTGACACAGGCAATTAACATGGCCATAACAATGGGCAATGCAATAACGAAAGAGCAATGTAAATGGCCCCCAGGGTACCAGATACGATACTCGTACTCTAAGCAGACAATCGTGTCACTAATTATACGCATAATTGGTTAATTTTCCAAGAACTGGCTAACAGCCCCGGCTAGAAATCGCCGCAACGGCCACACACGGCCAGCAGCAGAACAGAAACTCAAATGTAAAATGTAAATGTTTGACTCGCCACTCCACATCTTCGATCTGTTGTGTGTGTGTGTGTGTGTCTGGTGTTTGCTATGGCCACAGAGAGAGATGTGTGAAAGATACATTTCGAGATACTTCGACTTGCTTCACTTGTAAATGGAATGGATGCTGCATTCTGATCTGAGGGCTGGGCCAAGAGGCAGCGCTGGGCAGTGACTCATCTGGATGGCATTTGGATGAATCATTTTGGCAAGCAGTTGAAACAGAAATGCTGCTTGGAAAAGGGAATCCATGCCATGCCACTCGCTTCCTAATAAAAGAAGAAATCTTACCCAGAGAGAAGATATTTAGAGGGAATATTTCGCATCGCTTCCGGACTTATAGTCCCCAGAACTCAGTTCTCTAGTGAGCCAAAGATCCGTTGCCACTCACTCAGTGATCGGTGATCAGTGTTCAGTGATCGATGATCAGTGATCGGTGATAACTGTGTTGCAGTCACAGTTTCCGTGTGTCTCCAGCCCTGCAGCCAAACGATCGCCATGCCATCTACTTGAGCGCTGAGAGAATTCCACTTCCTATTGGCACATTGGCGCCAAGTGGCGTTAATCTGATTAGAATGAATGTCGACTGGAATCGAGCAACGAGAGGAGGCCATATGCCATTTGGCCATTTTATTTGCAGTGTCTCCTTAGCAGAGAGAGACAGAAGGAGAGAGCGAAACAGGAACACGATCAAAGGAGAGCAATGAGGCACGATCATGGACATGGTGCAACTTCCACAGTTCGTGTCATTGCCATTCACCTGTTGTGGCTGCTGCTGCTGCTGCTGTTCCTTCTCTTTCTTCTCTCTTCTCGGACTTAATTATATGGCCATTGAATTCTATGCACACATATGTATATCCGAAAGGGGGCGTGCCGCGACATCTGGCCGAGAGTGAGCTTCATATTTAATTAAAAGTAATTTTAATGACAAGGAAGAGCGTGTGGTCAAAGTCAGGTGCAGTCGTAGTCGCAGTTGCAACTACTGTGTGGCAAATGCGGCAAGTGGCAGGCAGTCGGACTGCAGGCAGGCAGTCGGGCCCCAGGCATTCATTTATGAGATACTTTCACCAAAAAAAAAAGAAGAAACTAAAAAAAAAAGCCCCACAATGGCAACGGAATGAAATGAATGAACCTTTCACCAAAGGAAAATCCTTAGCTCTGTGTCGCCGTCTCCTGTTGCAAGCTCTGCTGCGGCAGCGGCTGCGGCTGCTGCTGCATCTTTGATTTGTATCTGGGGAGATCTCTCTCTCTCTCTCTCTCCCTCTCTGCCTCTTTTTACTATCTCTATCTTTCTCTGTGTCACTACTTTACATGCCTAATTGCCTAGACTGGCGGCTGCTGGTTTTAAATGTAATTAAATTGCACTGATTAGGCGCCAATGCAATCCAATCCCAGTGCAATCCCAATGCAAAAGAAAGTCCCAAGAAAAAGCCCAATTAGTTCTCAGAGGCAGAGAGAGAGAGAGAGAGAGAGAAAGAGGCAGGCACAGGAATAGAGAGAAAGACAGGTGGCGGCAGAGACCAGCAGGAGCAGCAGCCCAAAAACTTTGCTTGCAGTTGACAAAAATGTTGCACACATTTGGCAATGGGCACGGCCTACGACCATTCACTTTATCCCATCTCCATCTCTCTCTCTATCTATGCCTCTCTCTGGCTCTTTCTCTCTCTCTCTCTCAGTGTGTGTGTGTCTGTCTTTCTCTTGGGTCAAGTGAAGCAAGTGGTGTGCCAGATTTTGTGAGCTTGTCAGGCTTTCGCTGGCTGTCTCTGTCTCTGCTGCTGCTGCTGCTGCCGCTCTCTGCCCCATTCGGTGGCATTCGGTTAGCCACTTGTTCCAGTTTCCCATGCACCTTAACCCATCGAAGTCGAGGCGCCCCATACCGGGATTGGGCCCGTCGCGGGCTTCTTTCCCTGCTTCGTTTTGTTTTTTTTTTTTTTTTTTTGTGGCCTTTTTAACGAGGCAGAAAGAACAATAAGAACATTTCCTTTCAGCCCAACGATCTTTATGAGCTCTCTCGTATGACAAACTTCATGGTCTCCCCTCGCACACCCCACCACACCACACACCGTTGGCGCGCTCGTTTTGAAAGAGAGCTCACAGTGGGGGAAAAAAGTATGCCACGTACGAGTGCGAGTACGAGTCGAAACAGATAATGAACAGACAGACAGAAGATGCCTCCAGTTGGCGCTGCAGATGGAGATGGAGAGCCACAGGCCACAGCCTGTCAGCCGGCAAGAGATCGAGATCGAGATCGAGATCTCAGTTGCAGGCATACAAAGTTGCAGGAAAAAGTGATCCGCAGATCGGTAAAACTTTGCCCAAACAAATGCTGCCGATCTCTGGGCGCTGTGGGAAACCATTAGACGCTCTCATTATATAAGAAAGAAAAGCAGAGAGAGAGAAAAACCAAAAACACATTGTCACTCCCCCCCCCATTAACCGCACTCACTTTCTGCAGAGCTCATCCATCCATCCACCCATCCATTCATTCATTCATCCCGCTGCCAAAGTCAAAAGCGGAAAATTACTTTCCCCCGGCGACACCTAAAAGCCACTGAAATTAACAAATGAATTCCATTTCATTTCGCATGACCCACAAAAGCCTCAAACTGTGTTAATTTGCGGCCAAGAAGAAATGGCCAGAAACGGTCAGAAATGGCCAGAAATGGCCAGACTGAATGGTTGGCCATTTGAAACTAAATTGCGCCAAATGCCAAATTGCATGCAAATTATGTGGAACAGGAGCACCACGGTGGCCAGTGGCAGTAGCTGTGGCTGTGGCTGTGGCTGTGGCAACAACAAACACAGCTGGGTGGCAGTACTTTAAGCATTTTTTTGGCCAGGCGGCACGGGGACTTGACTTCCGCAAACAATAGGAAAAACTCATAATGGCAGGAAAACGCGGCAGGTAGCATTTTCATTGCATGCAAATTGCCGCAATTAATTACGAGCAGCAGAAAAATCATAAAAAAAACAACCAAGCAACAAAGAGGAATAGGTAGAATCCTCTGCAGATGAATTGTGGCTCAGAGTTATGTGGAGATATAATTTTTTGTTCACGATATTGGTCGCGGTTACAATTGGCGCTGCTAATGAAAGTTGGCGGCACAAATGGACTTATTAAAGCCACAGGAATGCCGCAGCATGCACCGCACTTACAGATACAGATACAGATACAAGTGTTTGCAGCCGCCAAGGCCTGCCAGTTGACACAGATTTGCAATTCCGGCCACCGGCAGCGACAGTCGGATCGAGCCACATGGCAAGCTTCAATATAATTTATGCTGATTTTGATGGGAATTATGGTTTATGATGCCTGCAGATCTCCAGCAGCGGCAATTTTCCCGGTAATTTTCACACGCGGTGGCAGGCAGTGGCAGTGGCAGAGCAGTGGAGCTCTGGAAGAGCCACTAGAAGGCACAGCACAGTAATCGAAGTGGGTTAGGTATACAGATGCCAGTCGTGCAGCAATTCGCATGCAACCTGTCAAAGCAGCAGCAGCAGGAACAGCAGCAACAGCAGCAACATGCCCCCAGAGGGTGCCCCCTGAGTAGGGGGAGTGGCACATCGATCATCGTTTTTTGGTCTCCTGCCTCGGTTGCTGCTCCTTCTTTCTTCTGTTATATAAAAGTGAAAGATGAAGCCAAACATTTGGCTCCATCTATGGAGCCATAGAGAGACACACAGAGAGAGATAGAGCTGGCCTGGTCTCTTCCTGGTAGGCTGCTCTGCGTGGCTGCCATATTGGTGTCAAACTGCAGCGAGACACGTTTGAGCTACTCGCATTTGGAATGGCAAAAGTTGGAGTCGCCACAGAGCCACAGCCGCACTCAGAGTAGGAGCAGGAGAAGGAGTCCGAGTCAGAGTCAAAGTCAAAGTCAGTGTCAGTGTCAGTGGCGTTGCATTCGTTAAGTATACGCCACGTTTGCCGTATGCCTTTTATGTGCTTTGGCTTCGACTTAAACTCTTAACCGGTTCGGTTCCCCAATGGCCAATGGCCAATGCCGAATGCCAAAATGCCGGCTTAAGTCAGGCCTTTGGTGAAATGCCGACAAAACGTTTGACTTCAGTTTTGGATTTGGAGTCACCAAATGAAATTGCCAGGGCAGGATGAGAGGGTTGATCGAAAGGGCACACACACACACACACAGATTTATGATCTGCTCAGCCATTCCTGGCTGCAAGTCTCTGTTGGGTGGGAAAATGGCAGACCAGACACTGCCCTTAGGGCAACTGCAGGTGGCTGGCTCTGCTGCTGCTGTTGCTGCTGCTGCTGCTGCTGTTGCTGCTGCTGCCTCACTGCAGTGGCTGCTCTGTGGGTAAATGGCATGTCGCCAGGCTGCAAAGTTGCACAGTTGCCAGTTTGCCTGCCACACCAAAAACGAAACAAGTGAAAACAAGTTGAGGCAGCGACTGCTGGCTCTGACTCTGACTCTGGCTCTGGCTGCAGCTAGTCCAGAAAGTGGGTCAGAGTCAGAGAGCGCTGAGATTCCAGTGGGGTGGTAGGGTAGGGGGGAGACACGGGGCACACTGGCAGACACGCAGGTGGCAGGTGGCAGGCAGTGAGGCAGGCAGGCGAGTGGAATGCTGATGAGGAACGGTAATGGGAATGAGCGACGTCACCATCGTTCGTCGTTCGTTCGTTGGTTCATTCGTTCCTCTCTTCTGCTAGGAACGCATGCTTTGAGGTTGATGCAGTTGCAGTTGACTTTATTGACGGTTATTAGGCCTGTCGAAGGCGGCCTAATGCCTGTGGGCCAGTGCCAGTGCCAATGCCAGTGCTCGTATTCGTTGTTGCAACTGCTGCCTGCTGCTGCTGCCTGCTGCTGCTGCCTGCTGTTGGGGTGTTGCTGCTGCACATGATGATGATGATGAGTTTTTAATATGCATTTGGTGCTTGCCTTGCCTCGCCTTGCCGCAGTTCGGTTTACGGTTAGCTTAATAGCACATCTCAGCGATATAAAGCAGCCAAGAATTAGATCTTCAAGCGGAAAAATGCAATGCAAAAATAAAAAACAAAAAATACAACAAAAAAAATCTCATGAGAATTTTTTCTTGTTCTTCTTTTTCGCCTCTTTGCCGTACAGCTGCCCATCCCGGCGCCGTTTGCTACAGCCACGCCCACTGCCAAATGTTTGACACACGCACCCACTGCGACTTCCTGATCCCCAATCTCTTTGGACGCTGCCAGTGCACGGCACCCACCAAGATGGTCGGCGGTCTCTGTCTGACACCCGCCGCGGATGCGCAAGCGGAGGCGGAGGAGAAGCCCATCGAGAAGGTGGAGAAGGTGACAACAACCGCAACAACAACCACAACCACCACAACACCAGAGCCTACCACAAGGCGAACCACCACAACGACCACAACTGCTGCACCCACCACAAGGACTACAACAACAACGACAACGACAACTGCAGCACCCATCCTGCTGGAGGATGAGCTGCCAGCCAGCGTGGAGGAGCAAACCCTGGAAGAGGACGATGGCGAGGCTGCCAAGCTGAGGCCAGAGATCTCTGAGCTGGACAATGGCGAGAAACTGGAGGCCCTAGACATGGCCCACGAGGAGACGGAGCTGACACAGCAGCAGGAGCAGCAGGATGCGGAAAAGGAACAACAAGCAGCTGCAGCAGCAGCAGCAGCTGCAGCAGAGGGATCACATGAAGATGGGGCCACAACTGGAGTGCAACAGCTGCTGACACCCGCCGATGTGCCCACCGAGAATGCTGTGGGCGTGGAGCAGGAGACGGAGGGCGGCCCCACCGAGGACTATCCGTACAAGATCGACGAGGAGTACACAGAGGAGCACGAGAACAGGCCAGAGCTGGTGGGAGAGCAGCCCGAGCATCAGTACGATGAAACGGCACCCGCACTGGCACTGGCACCCATCGAGGCCGATGAGGATGCTGTGGAGGCCTCGGGCGCGGGCGCGGGCGCCGATGAGATTGCCTCATCGCCCGCTGACGATACCATGAAATTCGATTATGAAACGCCCGTCGAGGAGGCGGAGATGGAGGCTGACAAAGAGGTGGAGTCGCAGTCGCAGTCGGAGTCGCAGCCACAGCAGACGGCAGACCATCAACAGCATAATGATCATGAGGTGCTGGTGCCCATTGAGGCCGAGAGCGAGACTGATGCGGCGGAGGCGACCACTCAGCCACAGACGCTGCTGCAGGATGAAGATGATCAGGAGCCGGCCCAGACAGTGGCTGACGAGGAACTGATACCCGTGAATGCAGCTGCAGAAATCGAAAGTGTGACGAAGGTGACAGAAGTGGAGCTACCCGCAGAGCAGGAGGAGGAGGGCGATCAAGCTTCGGGGGATCATGAGATGGCAACGCCAGACGTCGCGGCAGTGGCTAATGATGAAGTCCCGCCCCAGGAGGATGCGGAGAAGGCGGAGCAAACAGAAGCGCTGAAGATTGAAGAGCCGGCAGAGGTGCAGCCAGAGAGTGAAAGCCACAGCGAAGCGGAAAAGGAACAGGGGGTGGAGGTGGAGCAGCCAGAGACACAAACCGAAGCCGCAGAAGTGGAGCCAACAACAGAAGCTGCCCCACAAGTGGAAGCTGAAACAGAGAAGCCAGAGGGGGCGGCAGCAGCGGAGAAGGAACCAGAAACGGAGATGGAGACGGACACTGAAATCGATCAGGCAGAACAAAGCGCCGACATCAAGCCGACAAGTGGCGAAGATGATTTAAATGAAGCCAATCAATTAAATCAAGATCAAGAGCAAGAGACACAGCCACAGGCAGAGATTGCCATCGAAGCTGAGCAGGAGAAGGAGAAGGAGAGGGAGAAAGAGGAGGTGAAGGTGGAGGAGAATGTGGCAGAGAAAGAGCCAGAACTAGAGGCAGACCAAGAGACCGAGCCAGTGGAAGAAATCCATCAAGATGCAGATGAAGCCACAACAGAGCCACAAGAAATCAAAGTGAAACCAGTCGAAGAACCAGCGGAGCAACAACAGCCAGAGGAGTTGGATACACAGGTGGAAGACACTGAGACGGAGCTGGAGCTGGAGACGGAGCTGGAGACGGAGACGGAGACGGTGGCAATCACCGAAGCAGAGCACGAACAATTGACATACCCAACAAATGATGATGAATTGGCGCCAGCCGAGTCGCAGCCAGTGGAGGAGCAACAGACCACAGAGGCGGCACACCATGAACCAGAAATTTCTAATGTCCAAGAGGACAGCACCACAGAGCTGCCCGAACAGCAGCAGCAGCAGCAGGAGACAGAGCAGGAGACAGAGCAGGAGACAGAGAAAGAGCAAGAGGCAGTGGCAGTGGCAGAGTCAGAAGAAGAGGCAGCGTCAGAGTCTCTTGTGGCGGAAAATGCAAATGCAATTAAAACGCCTGAAGTGTCGGAAGCAATTGCAGAGCCACAGGCAGAGCCACAGGCAGAGCAGGAGCAGAGCCCAGAAGAGCCACAGGCAGAGCCCCAGGCAGAGCAGGAGCAGAGCCCAGAAGAGCTGCAAGCGGAATCAGTGACCGAGAAGGACGTCGCAGTGGAGCCACAGGCCGTGTCCAATGATGAGCTGTCGCAGCAGCAGGTGGATGGAGATGTGGGGCAAGGTGCGACGCAGCTGCCAATTAATCAGACACCCGAAGATATTGAGCCGGAAGCGAGCGACGCTCTGACAGAGACCGCTCCATCTTTGGATGTGGAAAGCGAACTGCAAGCGGAAACTGTCACAGAACGCAGTGAAAGTGCCGAGGAGCCGCTCGAGAGTCACAAAGATGAGACGGAAATCATCAAAGATGAGAATGATAACATCATCCAAGGTGCCGAGCCGAATGTCGAGCCAGCAATCATTCCAGAGGCAGAGGCGGAGGCAGAGGCACAGCAAGCAGTCAACGAAGTGGAGAAGGAGCCGAACCAGCCAGAGATGGACTACACCAGCATCGAGCACCTGCAAGAGCTGCCCCAGCAGGAGGATGCACCCAAGCCAGTTGTCATTGAAACGGAAACGGAGACGGAGACGGAGACCACACCCGCCCAGGTGGCAGCCTACGATGACGATGAAGAAGATGCCGCCGAGTCCACTATGGCGCCGCAGATCAGTGTGGAGCCCAGCGCCATTGTGAGCGAGGAGCAGAACCAGGAACAGGATCTGGAGAAGTTCCACGAGAGCGAGAGCATTGCCGACATTCTCAGCGACCTGATGCTGGAGGGAGACAGCACCGTGCCGCCGGTGCCCTTTGGCCAGCAGCCCGCCCAAACGGTGCCCATGGTGGAGGCCAGCGAGGATAACGAGGACGAGGAGGCGCCCGAGGAGTCGGCTATAGCCGATCTCGTGGCAGAGGCGGACGAAACACACGACCAGCTGCACGTGGAACAGGTCCAGGCCCCAGAGCAACAGATTTCCGCCATTCCAGAACTCTTTGCGGAGGCAGCAAATGATGAGGAGCAGCAAGAGGTGGAGGAGGAGGGGGAGACGGATCAGACGACAGTCATTCCCGAAGCAGAGGCAGCAGAGGAAGTGGAGCCACAGCAGGAATCCACCACGGATGCCACAGTGCAGGCGGATGAAGAGAAGCTAATCACCTTCTATCCGGAGGAACAGCAGGAAACCGAATCGATTCCAGAGGAAGCCACCACCGCAGAGGAACCCCAGGAGCAGCAGGAACCCCAGGAGCACACACTCTCGCCGGAGGAACTGCCCTTTGACCTCAGCGATCACTCGCAGCCCATTCGCATCAACGAACTCGAGTCGGACAACTTGATTGTGGAGTCCACCACCAGCGTCGATGGCATCCAGGAGCTGGACAGCAACCACATCGAGGAGGGCCCTGCCGCACACCACCCCAGCGCCCATGAGGAGGCCACGCCCAATCCCGCCGACATTGTGGAGATCACCACACAGACGATGCTGGGTCTGGCCAGCCGTGTGACGCTCATGGAGCCCGCCGCACCCGTGGCCACCACGCTGATGCCCCTGATGACCTCCGATGAGCCCACACCGGAGCCGGAGTCAGTGGCCGTGCCAGTGTCCGTGCCAGTGGTGGTGCCGGGCTTCGCTTCGGAGCTGCGCAAGCGCGTGGATCTCGGCCTGGAGGCCATCTCGCTGGGCCTGGCCTGCAGCAGCGATCACCAGTGCCAGCTCTCGGATCCCCACACGGTGTGCAACGGACGCGGAGTGTGCGACTGTGCCGGCAGCAGCGAGACCAATGGAGCGGGCCAGTGCAGTGCCCAGCGGACGGGCTGCAGTCCGGGAACCTTCCAGGTAAGCTCAGTGCACCGCATCCGCCAGAGATCGCACGACGTTAACCATTTGGTTTCCCTTTGCAGTGCCGCTCCAGTGGCGTTTGCATCTCCTGGTTCTTTGTGTGCGACGGACGCGCCGATTGCAACGATGACTCCGACGAGGAGTGCACCCACAATGCCCGCCTGAACCAGACCTGTCCGACGGAGTCGTTCCGCTGCCAGCGCAGCGGTCGCTGCATCTCGCGCGCCGCCCTCTGCGACGGACGCAAGCAGTGCCCACACGGCGAGGATGAGCTGGGCTGCGACGGCAGCTTCAAGGGCGGCAACGCCTGTCCGGAGCACACGTTCCGCTGCAAGAGCGGCGAGTGCCTGCCGGAGTACGAGTACTGCAACGCCATTGTCTCCTGCAAGGATGGCAGCGACGAGCCGCCGCATCTGTGCGGCTCCCGCTCCGTGCCCAGCCTCTTTATGCGCCTGTTCGATGCGGGTGGCCTTCTGGGCGGTGGACGCCGCGAGGCGGATGCCTACTGTCCGCATCGCTGCAGCAACGGACTGTGCCGCTCCACGGCCATTGTGTGCTCCGGACGCGATGGCTGCGGGGATGGCACCGACGAACAGACCTGTGCCGTGTGCCGTAAGTGAAACAACGCCCACCCCCACCTCTAGGTTCTCAATCTGATCTCTAATGCTAAACTTCTCTCTCTGTAGGTTGTCCTGCTCCAACTGCTGCCAGCCTGCCCGGCTATCTGGCCCGGCAACGCCCCATGCCGCTGTGGTAGGAGCCCCATGCCGCAACCAATTATTCAACACCGACTGCAACGTTTTGCCACACTGTTCTACGAGCTTTCCAACACTATCTGTCGCACCTATAGCACGCACACCTGCATCACCCCCCGCCCCACGCCCCACGCATCATCGAGACAATTTTTGCCTAGCATTTAAGTTGATATTTTAACAAATTATTTATTTATTTATTTATGATGATTTTAGCTGCGCCCTTGCCACGCCCAATTGCCACCTTGCTATCAAAGGGGGTGGCCAGCTCTGGCCTACCCTTTGAGCCAGTGATGTTTGTCAATTGAGCCCACGGGACGCATCCCTAAAAGCCCCCCCCCACACAAGCACACAAGCACACAGAGCCACACACACACACACTTCGACTATTTATTCTACTCATCCCTCCCCTCCCCCAAACGACCATCAAACTATTTATTTATTCTTCATCCCCCTAGCCACACGACACGACACACACACCAACAAACAAACAACAATCTTCATTTAGTTTAGTTTTATGCAATTTTCTAATCTAATTTATTTAAATTATTGGCCCGGCAAAACCCACAAAACGGAAACGGAAACACATAAACTGAAAGAAAGGGCGGGTAAAGCGAAAATTCCCCCATGAAAATTGATGCATTTTTTATTGATTAATTTTTTGTAAATAAGTAAAACGAGATCTAAACGATAAACGACAATGACTCTAAAGAAACATCACATCACATCAGATCAGATCAGATCATATCATATCCCCTATATCTTATTATATGTATGTATTTGTATTTGTATTTGGATGTACTCGTATTGTGTGTATTTAGGTTAACACACACACCCACACACACAAACATTTTCTCAAAGTCAAGAAGCGTCACAATAAATCAAATAAAATAAATAAAATCCATTGAAGCAGACAAAAAATGCATCAACAAAAGAAATGATAATAAAATAAAAAAAGAAAATATATTTAAAAAAAAAAACTGTTGGAAAATTCATTTAAATTGTGGAGAATTTTAGGAGTAATTTATTTTGGGAATTTATTGCTTTATTTAACTTGAAAAAACCGCCAACTAAAATGTGGCTGTGGCTGTGGCTCTCCAGCTTAAAACCACAAATGTTGCCTGCTTTTAGGCAGCGCTAAACAAATTCCGTGATACGAGTATCGTGTGCTGGCAATAATAAGAACTGCAGCAGAGTATTCCCTACCACAGACCCCGGAATATACTTGACCCGGTGTTCGGTCCAACTCTTGCCACCATAGAATAATATATTACACTGTGTGACAGTCATTTTGTACTTTGCACGAGACAAAAAAAATTATGAAAGTGCAAACAGACATCGAATTGCGGTTTTTGAATTTTTAAAAAAGATTTTGGGGGTATATTGCGAATTCTAAGTATGAGGAAGTGATCTACTCATCACGGCCCACAACCTTGATTTTGTCTCGTGCAAAGTACATTCAAAAGTTTCTCATTTGTAGCACAGTGTTGTATGTTTAAACTTAAATGAGTCGCCTTACGCGACTCTCTTCCATTACACAGCTTCTGGTATACCTTATGCTCAGTGCTCATGCACTTGGAAACCCAATAAACTTGTACTTATTCTCAGATATCGCCACCCCCCACCAACCTTGCATAAATTATATTGAGGAAAAGGCTCCTCGATTGAGCACCCGGAATATGCTTACTGTCAGCGCCGTCAATGGGCCCAACAGATTGGCGAAATAATCTATCAATAGATAGTCTCTGATTTAGTGCTGCACTTCGCGCAGCTATCTTGGCCAAGGTCCTAATCTCCTATCGGAAAGCTAAACATATTTACGATCCTCGGACGTATAAAAGGCACTGTGGCAGCCAGCAAAGAGCAAGTTGTATCTGCAACATGAAGGTATTCATTACTATTTTGGCTCTGGCTGTGGCCTCCGCCTCGGCCTACGAGAGCGTGGTCCACCCCAAGGATCTGCTGAAGGTCACCAAGATCGAGGGTCGCATCACCAACGGCTATCCGGCCGAGGAGGGCAAGGCACCCTACACCGTTGGCCTGGGCTTCAGCGGCGGCTGGTGGTGCGGTGGCTCCATCATCGCCCACGACTGGGTGCTCACCGCCGAGCACTGCATCGGAGATGCTGGCTCCGTGACCGTCTACTTCGGTGCCACCTGGCGCACCAACGCCCAGTACACCCACACTGTCGGCAACGGCAACTTCATCAAGCACAGCAACGCCGACATCGCCCTGATCCGCATCCCCCATGTGGACTTCTGGCACATGGTCAACAAGGTGGAGCTGCCCAGCTACAACGATCGCTACAACGACTACAACGAGTGGTGGGCTGTTGCCTGCGGCTGGGGCGGCACCTACGACGGCAGCCCACTGCCCGACTGGATGCAGTGCGCCGATCTCCAGATCATCCACAACTCCGAGTGCGCCAGCTACTACGGCACCGGCACCGTTGGCGACAACATCATCTGCGTCCGTGTCTCCGATGGCAAGGGCACTTGCGGCGGCGACTCTGGCGGCCCATTGGTCACACACAACGGCGCTAAGCTGGTGGGTGTCACCAACTGGGTGTCCGGCGCAGGCTGCCAGGCCGGTCATCCGGCTGGCTTCCAGCGCGTCACCTACCACTTGGACTGGATCCGCGACCACACTGGCATTTCTTACTAAGCTCTGCAAAATCGTTGAAATAAATTGAATTCGAACTGCAAATTATTCAAAAATCACAAGAAAGGTATGCGATCACGAAAAGGGATCGTGCGGGTTGAGTGGGCGGAAGTTATGCGTGCTGAAGGCAACCAAAGGCAGGTCCTTTGACTCTGCCTTCCCAGTGGCAATTATGACTAAGGATGAACCAACTCAGGCTCGGGAAGGGCGGTACTCAAGCAATAGCATAATTACATTTTATGGTCTGCCACACACAGAGAAGGAACATAAAAATGCCGCTCAAAAATATATTCATACAAATTCTGGAGTATCGGGAAAACTTCATGTATCAAACCTGTATTATTCACGTATGAAGTCCTCTATCTGTATCATCCGAATACAAATGGCGAGTATACAAATAGAACAATTTTAGGAAATGCTTGAAGCCGGCTGTTGAATTCAGTGCGCCAGACATATATAATCGTGATTTGGAAGACACGGCAGATAAGGCGAGATGTTATACCGATACTGATATAGAGGTGGAATTTACCAGACCAGAAATCTGATCGCGCTTGCTTTGGCGATTACTAATCATGACTGGCGATGAGTTCATGAATGGAAGGTTCCTTATCTGTAATCTGCAATCGCAGCTGAGAGCAGACCCCTTGAAGCTCTGCCAATGGGATCTTGGGACAGTCACCTAACGAAATATATGTACCTGTAATACAGTAGAGTTCAAAGTAGAGTCTGCTGCTGATAAACTGGCATTGTGTATATTTACGACTCCGCTTTTCGACAATCTCCCTTCATAAATATCTTCAATACTGCAGGATGTGCACTGACTTTACAATAGTATGTGCCAAAACTCACATTTATTGAATAAGTCTTCAGGCTATGGCACCTCAATTCGATTTACTTATGTATTTGTTTTTTTTTTTGTTTTATTTTGTTTTGGTGCCTGTCAACAGTTTAATTTATGTCCAGAGATTGCATGTAAAGTGGCGGAGATTGTTTTTCCTGATGCGATAACTAATTTGTTTTGAATAAATTTTAAAATTGTATACGAGCTTGCTTGCTTGCTTTTTTGTTTTGTAAAGGTTCAGGTAGTGCCAGCGCAAAAATCAGCAAATTTTTCCAAACTAAATTTGGCTGTGGCTACTAGATGCCATAAATAGCATAAAATAAATGAATTAATATAAGTAAACTAAAATAAATAGAATATTAAAATAAATAAAACGTTTCTTGGAACTTTTGGGGGTGAAGAGCAAAGTAACTGTTGTTTTTTTAGTTATTATATCGACGGCGTCAGTAACTTACGATGACATCACCATTAAATCTGCATAACAATTTAGCAGCCCCAAAGCTTGTTGCTATAAAACTAACAAGCTGGTTGCTATGGTAATAGCGGAACTAATAAGCAACTAATCTGATTTGGTTTGGCTGAATATTTTTCCATGCAGAATAGCAGCCACAAAATGTTTAAATAACTTGGAATTATTGAAACAATTGCAGCAGCATGGAGGACAAATTCAATTAGATTTTTAGTGGCTGCTGCTGTCCCGTTTAAACAGGTCTTTAATCCACAGCTATGTGAGTTAAGTTAGCAGCACCGCCAGCCCATAACGGATGATCGATAGCAAGTATTTTTTCATTTGGACATTACAAATATTACAACGCAAAAATGTGCATTGCCGGCGGCCATTGTGTTTGTTTTCTGTCTTTGAAAAAATTCTAAATAAATAAATAACTCCACTTATAATAATTATTCGCTTTCCGGTGCTGCTAAGTTTTAGCTCCGTTATCCCAGTTGCTTTTGTTTCTCCCTCTCTCTCTTTACTTGCCGGCGTAAGTGTTTTGTTTTTGTTTTCCGCTTCGTATCTTGCTTTTACCGTGTTATTTTATCTAAGTTTCACGGAGTATTATATTTATCCAACGTCGTTTGCTTCGGTACGGAAACAAATCTTGGTGAGAGTTCGCCTAACAATACTTAACATTTTCAAATGCAGTTTCATATGCTAAAAACACAAACTAAAAACAATGCCTAAACATGCAGCGGGCATAGCAACAATCGAACTTCGAGGGTATCAAAAGTTTCGGCACGCAAAAGCTGCCATTTTGTCTACGTTTTGTGTGTTGTTTGCGTTGTTGCTTCTCACGCTTTTGTTTTCTTTTCTTAATACATTCACGCGACCTTGTCGCTGTATGAACAAAACGACAGCGTGTGATAATTTTGCCCAAACACCGAGGGAGGGGTGGGGTCGAATATACACCACCCACACAGTCCGCTTGGCCATTGAGGCAGCAGCCAACAAGTGTGTGTAGTGCGTATAGACGGACAGCCAAAGAGAGGGGGGGAGATTGAAAGAGAGGGTGGGTGAATAAAACTACGCTAATGTTATAGGGAGGGGTGGGAAGGGGAAGCATAAAATACCGAAGCGAAGCGCTCGTCTCGTTTGCAGCACGTGCCAAACACATTTATTTTGCGAGCGAATAATCTCGAGTCTGCGCAGTCTCAGTGAGTGTCAAACTGTGCGGCCAATTGGCAAATAAACATTGCATACTTTCAGGCAAGCGACGCAGCCAACGAACTGCAGCATTATCCGTGCGCCAGGCACCGCGGCAGGAACAGCAGGACAACGCAACCATACCGTTCCGCATCGCCAAACTGAAACGTTCTAGATTTCACACAACTCGTAGTGTAAATATTTTCAGCTGCAATCAATACAGCGATGAGTCCCAGTGAGTGCAAGTTCCTGAATATTGGATGAATCTTCACTGCTCCACTGAGGCAATGTGTCGACAAAATGTACGAGGAAAATACGGAAAGTGTGTGTATCTGTGTGTATCCGTATCTGTATCTGTATCTGTTGTGTGCTACCCAAAGGATTGCAATTTTTACGCTGACACTGCAACGCTGTGGTCCGCCTCAATGGGACTTGACACAGTCTCCCCCGAGGCTTTTTTTTGTGTTGCCTTTATGTGTGTGTGTGTGTGTGCCACAAAGTGTCCTCGAACCATACACTGGCACAGAATTGCATATACATATGTATGTGCGTATGTACTTGCATATTGGAACACACAATGCACGTCATTCGCCCTTCACCCATTCTCCATTCTCCATTCTGAATATCCATTATATTTATATATGTATGTGCATATATTTTGTATGTCCCTCAAAAGCTGACTCAACTGCATTCATCAGTCATATTCAAATTCTTATACAATTTCTAAATGCACAAGCATGCAGTCGTTAAAAGCTATTAAGCGAGTACGTGAGAACGATGATAGTTTCTATGATGGGACATTTGTCAAGCTTTTGCTAATTTATTGATGCTTGTAGTCGTATATTCAGTTCGTAGTCGTCACACAGTGTCAATTAAATTAGTTAAAGGTGCGAAATGGAGCAGAGCTTCAGCTTGTATCGAGTGAGATTTTAGATGAATCAATCCGCAAACAGTGAAAGTTCTTTAGACAAATAATTTCCATAGGCAACAAACCTTCACTTCAGTTCCCATTTAAACCCATTTCGGATAAGGCGCTGGCGTTAATCTTTTAGGCTGTTGTTATCTGCTCTGGAACCTTTTGATAGTTTCAATATATGAAGAGTTTTTTTGCATAAGCGTTTTAATGTAAGGAAACGCAAGCCTTTGTCGCGCTGCCATTGCTTCCGGTTTGTTCTTCAAATCAAATAAAATTCTAAGAGCGCAGAGCGGAGGCAGGCATCATTATCGCTACCCGCAGAACTACTCAAAGGTCTCGCCTAAGCGAGATTATTCATTTTGTACCACACAAAAACAACAATACTGTGCCTGACTGCTATGACTGTGGTCCACGTTATAAATCAAAAAATCGTGTTGAAAAAGAGGAAGAGAAGATGGCATAAAAAATGTGTATAATTATATTTGGACAGCTGTAAGACTCATCATGCAATACACAAGTTATATCCGAACAATGATATAACGCGATAATGCAAAAATGAAAAACTAATGAGCGCCGAAGCCGAAGCGCTTCGTGATCGATGGATGCCGAACATAAGTAGTATGCCGTACCCAAAGTAGAAACCAGCACCACAAAGCACCCCATCCAAGCAACCATCGTTTCCCCATACCCATTCCCATTCCCATGGTTTCGGGGGGGGCGACGTCACACTCGCGAACGAGTCGCCGTCGGGTTCGGTTCCCCTGCTGATGTTTCGCTTTCGGGCAGCCACTGCAATTCGATTAATTTCATTTTCCCCTCATTGGGCCCCCAGCCAAGGTTAATACCGAACGTTTTTATTTATATTCCCTCTTGACGGAAATGTTTACATGAAATATACTCTACATATAGTCTACAAGTGTTGCAATTATCTGAACTAATAGGCAAATATTTATATTAATTCGCACACAGCGGAGGTTTCCAGCGATTAGTGATCAATCCCAGACGAAAACATCATGAATGAATGCATGAATTAGAACTCGATTCTTATCTGTAGTCGAATTCCCCGAAATTCAGCTGCATGCTATGCACATAGTGCCGCCGACAGTGACCAGTGTCCGATTGTCGTGTCAAGGAACCCTTTTGTCAGCAATTTCCCATTCATTTCAGTGTCGGATTCCACAACAGCTGGATAGCTTCATAATATTAATCACTGCCATAGGTAAGTCAGGCTAGCATTCCCTTTACTATCACTGGACTGGAGACGAGACACTCGGACACTGACAAACAAAAACATGTTCCTGTATTTCCTGCAGCCAAACTTGAGTGTTATCGGTAGGAGAGGGCGACTTAATGTTATGGCTGACAAACGCCTACTGCTGGAACGATGCGACACCACGGAGACGGAGAGGCTGGTCGTGCATCTGGCCAAGGGGCCCAAGGGTCGACTGCTGCCGTGCAGCTGTCTGCTGCGCAGGAAATCGCTGCTCGGACTCATTGGCACCTTAATATTCTGTTACTTTCTCATCGGTCGGGCGGAGTGGGCGAGAGTCCTCGATCTGGATGGCCTGCATAGCGACAACTATTACACGGTCCATCATAGTTCCGATGTGCCCGGCATGGATGGTGAGTGGCTAATCCATCCGCATGTGTTTCAAGTTTGTGTTGCTTCTTTATGTTTTGTTTTGTTTTATTTTGTTCCGCTTTTATGTTGTGCCTCCTGTGTCCGTGTTCCTGTGTAGATCTGGTTGATGATATTGAAAGTATTAATTTTGTGCCGGAAGGCTTCCTCGTGTACAGCAATTCCTGCAAGATCAAAGAGGTCGATCCGTACAAGCCGGAGGTGATGCGCCACTTTAAGCGCGTCAAGTACGTGCCCTGCAAGAAGCAGCCGCCCCTCACCTACGTGCAATTCAACGAGCTATCGCAGAGCTATTTCCTCAGCATGAACGGCTCCGCCTTCCCGCACTACAAAGTGGGCTCGTCCATCCACTGCTGCTACATGGAGGTGCACCGGAGGAACGAGACGGAGGTGGCATATTCCAAGTGCCACCGCTTCACACACCAGGCAGTGCTGCCCAATACGGTGGAGGGCATAATTGTCAAGTGCACATCGAATAACGAACAGATCTACATCAATGGACATGCCACGATACCCGTCAAGAGGGACGTGCAGCAGCGGCTGAGAGTCAGCGTGGACAGAAAGGAAAAGCAGCGGCCGCCCAGCGTGCTGATGCTCGGCATCGACAGCATCTCGCGGGCTAATCTTATACGGGCCATGCCCAAGACAGCCCAGTACTTGTACGACAACGAATGGTTCGAGCTGGCTGGCTACAACAAGGTAATGCAATCCACTCCAATCATTGGCTGTCATTCCACTCTTTACACTGTCTCCGTCTCTCTCTCCCGTTCCGGTTAGGTGGACGATAATACTTTTCCGAACATCATGGCCCTGGCCACCGGCTACGATCTGACGAGCGCGAATAGGGAATGCTCCCCGTATGTGGTGGGTGGCCTGGAAAAGTGTAAATTCATCTGGAATCTGTACGGGGAGCATGGCTATGTGACAGCCTACGGGGAGGACGCCATACAGATCAACACATTCAACTATCTGAAGGAGGGTTTCGTGAAGCCGCCCGTGGACTACTATCTGCGGCCATATCTGTCCGCTGCTGAGGACAAGCTGCAGCGCACCATAGTCATGGGCCTGCCCCACTGTCTGGGCTATGAGACGGCGGCGGAGCATGTGTATGACTATGCCATGGAGTTCACGCGTCGCTTTCGGAACGACACCTACTTCGGCTTCTTCTGGACGAACACGCACAGCCACAGCGACATCTCGCAGACCAGCAGCATGGATGCGTATATGGTGCGCTATCTGGAGCGTCTGGTGCGCCAGGGGACGATGGACAACAGCGTGGTGGTGTTCTTCAGCGATCATGGCTTGCGTTTCGGACCCACACGGAACACCTGGTCGGGCCATCTGGAGGAGCGACTGCCCGCCATGTTCATTTGGCTGCCAACGCATCTGCGGCAGGCACATCCAAAGATCGTTGAAGCTCTGCACCTGAATCGCAATCGTCTCACCACGCCCTACGATCTGCACATGACACTGAAGCACATACTTGCGCTGTCCGGGCGCACCGATGGCCTGGAGTCCCTGGGATCGGCCCCCTCCTGCCCACAGTGCCAGAGCCTGCTGCGGCCCGTTCCGGAGCAGCGGGCCTGTGCGGATGTGGGCATTGAGGATCACTGGTGCACATGCTGGTCATACGACAAAATCTCGACCGGTTCCAAGCAGACGAAGCAGCTGGCACTGCATGTCGTCAGCCACATCAATGAGTTTGTGCACGGCTTCCGTAACGGATCGGTGGCCAAGCTCTGTATGCCGCTCACCCTGTCCTTCGTCAAGTCCGCCTATCAGGCACACCGAAATGCCCTTGATCCGGAGAACATGCGTACGGTACGCCTAACCCTAGTCACATTGCCCAGCAATGCCCTGTTCGAGGCGACAGTGCGGCACAATCAGACGGACGACAGCATGACGGTGACGGGATCGGTGAGTCGCCTCAACATGTACATTGGGGAGTCGGACTGCGTTTTGGATTCGGCTGCCAAGAAGTATTGCTGTTGCAGGAAAAACAAAACAAAAAAGGGATAGTACGAGTATCGGATAAGAGGATAAGCCCCCAAGCTAGCCAGCCCCCAAGTGCCGCCAGATTTGAATCTGGTATTAGCTACAATAAACCTGTACATAGATTGCTTAAGCTAGTCCTAGTTGCCCAATGTACATACACAATATATATATATATAATATATATATATATATATATTATATATATATATAGTAGCGTAGGTGGATCCTGTATTATGCTCTCAAGCAAACTTTTTGCCAAACTAAACATAATTTCTAAGCAGTTATTTAAAGTAGAATACTCGTACATATGTATACTGTAGAACTGTCGTTATCTGTCGTTAGTGGCTAGTGTCTTTAATCTTGTTTCTCTTTGTTAATAGTCGAATTTCATCAATTAAAGGCGAGTGTCAAATAAATATCAAAGTATATACATACATGCATACACATATCAGAGTATATTCGAGGTAAATTGTATCATTTTCGTGCTTGTGTCTCATTCGGCCACTGATACCGCACTGCAGATGTCCCATTTGCGCAGCTTTTCCTGGAACGTGTACTTCGACAGCAGATCCTTGAGCGCCTTGAAGAGTTTCGTGATCGAGCCCAGGCGCTGCATTTCATTCAAGTGCCCCGGGCACGCTTCCACCACCAGTTCGAGGCTCTTGTAGTCCTCGCTGGCTCGCACGGAGAAGTAGCCCATTAAATTAACCGATGGCTGGGCATTGCCGCTTCGCGTCTTTAGCATCTCGTCAGTCTGCTGCTTGTGCATATCGAAGTACTGGCCAGGCTGCCACGGCGGCAGGTGGCGACCTGTCCAGGTGTCCACCGTGCTCCTGATCAGCCATTTGTGATAGCAGGGCTCCTTCGATTCCTCCAGCTCCAGGTCAAGGGCAAAGATCTCCGTGAGGACATTTTTTATGGTATCCACATAGCAGAGCAGCCAGTAGTAATAAATTGTTTGGTTGGTCTCAACGTTTCGGCTTAGCAGCACAGGGCGCAGGCTCTTGAGATCGTTCTTGCTGGCAAGGATCGAATGCGTGCGCTTTGTTTCCGGCAGGCACGTCAAAACATCCAAACCGAGCTTATGATCCATCGATAGATCGCTGACGTCTCCTGTCTGAGTCGCTTCTGGCTGCTGTTCAGTCGGATTCGGTTCCGGTTCTATCGACTGTTCTGTTGCCACTGCATTCCCCTTGGCCTTCTTGGCAGGCGTTGGCCGATTCAATGTCGTCTTCTCCACCACCATTTTATCGCCAAGGCCGAATAGCAGGTACTCGTAGAGTTTCTTCGGCTCAGCCAGTAGCTCTCGGTTCTTAAATGCCTGCGCGGCCATCATCAGGCATTGCTTTATGTACAGGAAATCTGTTTGGGATATGTTTCTTGCCACATTGCGCTGCAGCTCGAAGGGATCCTGCACGCAAACACTACGATCCAAGTGAAATTTATCGGGCACTTCGCCGACCTCTTCCTGAATGGCAATCAATTGCTCCTCGTACTCCGAAAATCCGCCCGGTGTGCCCAACGTGGCCACCTTGTTCACGGCGCGGCCCAGAAACGGTGACAAAAGGGTCGTCTCGAAGTCTATGCTTGTACAGAAAGAGAAGAAGTCTCCGATGAACTGGAGCATGGACATATGGGCAGGTAGTGGCGGCACCCGTTCAAGGCTGTACGCGAAGTTGACTCCGTTCACATTGATGGGTGCCGAGCGAGACTGCAGCTCCCTGATGGACGGCAGCAAGTGGCGCACTTGCAGGTTAACGAGGAGCACGCTGAGCAGACAGTAGCTATTCATGCCGCCCATTCGAATGACGTTCACCTTCTTTCCCCAGATTTTCAGGAACAGAGCGAGACGGCGCAATTTAGGATCGTGTAGCATCAGATCGCGTATGAACTGAGAATTGTATGTGCTGCTCGGATTGGACATGTTGATGTCTATGTTGAGGCCTGTCAATTGATGCTTGCAGCGAATAATGGGCACCCGGGCATGCCGAATGTTTGTGATATCGGTAAAGCATACCGAGCGGTGCAGCAGTTTCAGGACTTTGTTGAAGAGCCGCTTCGGGCCACCGGACTGATCATCTGTCGACTCTAGATACAAGTCAATGTCGCTGTCTAAACGTAGCCAGAGAGAGGTAGATTTAGTTAAGCTGGCGGCACATACTGCAAATGCATCCTTCCACCTTTCACTCACCCTCTAGAGCCAATCCCGTGACCAGTGAACCAAAGGCGAACACTTTCAATTTTAGAGCCTTCTCCTTCTCCAAGGAGTCGCGTACAACGGCGAAGCAACAATCGAGTCGTCTCAAGTCAGCCCCATAACGGTCCAATATTGTCGCCAGGTACTGCCCGTCAATTGTCCTGTCCAGATCCTCCCGCAGCTTGCTGCGCTCAGTTTGGTTTTGTTCGCTGGTGAATTGCTTGGTTAGCGCGTTTATTTTTTGGCGAATTTTCTTTTGCGGCTTTTTTGTGTTCTTGTGCGTTTGCAGCTCGTGGGCCAGGCAGTCTGTTAAATTCGGGAAGGGAGCAGAGCAAACAGTGCAAAACACCAAGTCGCTGGCGGCACTGTTCCCGGGCTCCTGGCTGTCTCCTGGAGTCAGCATTTCTTTTGGAAAGATAGAAAAATAAAGGTGGTTTATTAATCCTCTTTATTTGGAAAGCATCTTTTGCTAAAAACAAAACATTAGAGGTGTCAAACCATCGAGGGCACTATCGATAGTATCGATATTTTACTGCTAGTCTCTACTATCGACGGTTTTGCGACTATCATGATAGTATCGAGCTACAGTCGTTGCGCTTTTGATATGTTTGGATTGGCTGCTATAAAATACGAACACAAATTTGTAAAAAAAATCGACAGGTGGCATCTAATTTTATCATACCGTAAGATACATTTGATTTTGTATGGGAAAAATTTCAGCAACATGCTGCCACACCACGAAAATGAGGGGAAAGTCTCCACAAAAACACTCTATTCTCCACTCTCCACGAATTGAGAGCAAATTTTGCAAACTCTCCACGAATTGAGAGCGAAAAATGTCAGTATTTTTGGTGCGCTAAATTGAGTTTGGCGGTCAATTTGAAATGTGTCTTAATATTTGGAAAAAAAACTTGATTTGTTTTGTCGAGTGACCTCAGAAACCGAGAATTATCCCGATACTATCATGATAGTATCGATTGTTTTTTTTTAAACATTTGACAGCTCTACTAAACATACTTTTTTATTTATGTTTTTTTTGCGAGCTTGGAACGGAAGTGTATTGGTTCGCCTTAACCCACTTAAACCACTATTAAAAAACTGCTATTTCAACAGGTGAGTCGCGGAAAATACTACTGTTTATAAATTCTCTTTTTAGATCCATTCTTCCTCATTTCTTACATGATCACGATATCTCTCACCTGAACTGCGCTGAAGAATTTTAAACTATCATAATTTCGCAAATATATTTAAATACCCCTCGTCCAAAATGTGTTAATGGAAATAAATGTGTGGCTTCCAACACTGTCGAAAATCCGGCGCAAATTCGACTACAGAATTTCTGCTCTGTTAATTTAATAACAGAATAATTATTAATTAACAGATGGGAATATGTTAAAATTCAAATGTTATTTTCTAAATGTTAAAGATGCAGTGCTGCGAAGCGTCTTCAGAAATTTCATCAACACGAGGAATCAAAATAAATAACAAAAAATAAAATAAATTGTAAATTATGAGACTATTGGTTCTGTACGGCAGCCAAACCGGCACTGCCCAGGACGTGGCTGAGCAAATATGGCGGGAATCGCGTCCACTTGGCTTCCATGGCCCTGTTCTTTCCTTCGAGGACTACGACATGCAGCAGCTGATCGAAGAGCGGCTGGTGGTGTTCGTGGTGGCCACCACTGGCGACGGTATAGAGCCGGATAACATGAAGCAGGGGTGGCGATTCTTGCTGAAACGTAGCTTACCATCCCAATCATTGCAGGGACTGCAGTTCGCGTGCCTCGGCCTCGGGGACTCCAGCTATCCAAAGTTCAACTATGCTGCCAAGAAGCTAAACAAGCGGTTGCTGAACCTAGGCGCCACCGCTGTCTGTCCGCTGGGCTTGTGTGACGATCAGCACGACTATGGCCATTTGGGTGTATCTCTCAGCTGGACAAGGGACCTCTGGACGTCACTGAAGTCCGTTCTTGGCATAGACGAAAGCAAACAGAACGGCGCTAACAAGACTGCGAGCAAGTGGCTTGTCAGAGAGCTTCCTGGCTCTGTGCCCTTGAGTGTGCGGCTGGAGAACCTTGCCTGGACACAGAAACAAAAGTGTCACACCTTCAAGCTGAAAGACAACGTGAGGACAACAGCGGAGAGTCACTTTCAGGATGTGCGCTTCTTGAGGCTCGAATCCACGAGTGAAAATCTCAGCTGGGAGCCCGGCGACGTACTCGACGTGCAGCCCCAGAACAGCGATGAGGCGGTGCGTACATTCTTCGAGCTGCTAAGCGAACACAAACTCAACTTTGATGAGTCCACTGCAGTGGAGGTGCTGGCTGCCTACCCGGACATGCCGCTGCCCAAGGCCTTTGCCACGCCCATCACCCTCGTGCATGCAGCCAAATATGTGTGGGACCTGAGCGCCAAGCCGAGACAACGTTTCTTCGAGGTGTTGGGCTTCAATTGCAGCGATGAGATGGAGAGCGAGAAACTCGCCGAATTCTGCTCCGCCGAAGCCATTGATGACCTGGTGGCCTATGTGAATCGTCCTCGGCGCAATCTTCTAGAGGTTTTGCAGGATTTCCGGCATGCCACCTCCACGCTGACGCTATTCCAGCTCTTTGAGATGATGCCACTGATTCAGCCGCGCAGTTTCTCGATAGCTTCGGATGCATCCTCCTCCACGCTGGACTTGCTTGTGGCTGTGGTCCAGTATAAGACTATTTTGCACACGCCGCGTCTGGGTCTGTGTTCCAACTGGCTGAAACACTTGACGCCAGGCGTGGAAGTCTGTGGCATTGTCAAGCATGGGACAATGGTGTGGCCTCAGGATCTGGCAGTACCCCTGATTATGGTTGGACCTGGCACCGGCATTGCACCCTTCCGCAGCATCATTCAGCACCGATTGCATGCCCAGTCGATGGGAGTCCGCATTGGTCCACTTGTTGTCTTCTTTGGCTGCCGCAATAGGGCGGCAGATTTCCACTTTCAGGACGACTTCGAAGCCTGGACTGCGGGCAAACTGGTGGAGGTGCACTATGCCTTCTCTCGGGACGAGGACCAGAAATTCTATGTCCAGCATCAGATTCTGAAAAATGGGCATCGCTTGGCGCAACTAATCCAGGAGCACAATGCACATATCTATGTGGCGGGCAACTCCAATAACATGCCCAAAGCGGTACGCGAGGCATTCATTGAGATCCTGGGCGGCCAGGGCGATTATGTGGATCTGATGCTCAAGCAGCGAAGGTATCAGGAAGAAACGTGGGCGTAAAGTCAACTAACTTGAATTGCTTGTACTCGTATGTGTTCCTATTTGTACAATTTTGGACGGAAATTACATCTTAAATCTATGAAAGAACGAACTGGTCTGGTCTGGTGTGCATTCTCAAAAGTCTTCCAGCAGCTTATCCGAGGATGTGTGACAAAACGGACAGTATCCCTTTTGTAGCACCTGCAGCTCAAAGTCCTCCGCATAGAAGAGCTGCAAATGAAGGGGTTTACTTTTATGTGTTGCCATATTTCCTAGAGATAATCATTACCAGCAGGCACTGTGGGCAATAGGTGACTTGTAGATCGGGCAATATATTGCGATAGTAAACATTTCGAATATTCTTGCCCTGCCGCTTGAGTATCAGCACATGATTGGGATCTATGGCACGCAGGCCATTGCGATCCAAGCTCAAGGGCAAAGCACTGGCCACATCCTCGTTGAAGGGATCTGAATCCTCGACATGCTTGGCCGGAGCCAGCAGCAGACGCTCGGCCTCGGCATCCGTTATATCCACTTCGGGATAGAATTGTACTAATGGTAGGATTTCTAGGGGGAAACAGAGTTCAATGGGTCAAGATTATTCCCTAAAAGAAACCTGAATCACATACCAAATGAAACGAATGAGAAGATGTAATCCTGCCTGCAGGTGGGGCAGCAATTGTTGTTCAAATGTTGACTGTAGTTGGAGCACTTGTAGCACAGCGGCAGCAGCTCCTCGGGATCATTGAAGCCGCTTTTGCATGCCTTGCTGTTTAAGAAATTCAACTGCAAATACAAATTAAAGTTTAGTAGCTCTGATTTCTGGCATGGTATTTCTGGCCACTTACATCAATCTGCTCTTGCACTCCGGCTGGTGGTTTGAGTGACTGCAGTCGCTTGTTTATCAGCAAACACAATTTATTGGCCTGCAGGAACTTTGCCTGCTTGGCCAAAGTAAACAGCACAGAGCTGGAAAAGAGTGGAACAGGTGAGCGTGTGGCCCCAATCAACGGGTAAGGGTAACAATGGCTTACAACATGCTCACACCCTTGGGCACGCCCTTGTGCTCCACCTCATTCAGTATGAAGCGGCTGACATTGAACAGACTGACGGGCGAGTGTGTGGTGAAGGGCTCCTTCATGTAGCTATAGATCACGGCATAGGCGTAGTACACCTTGGCAACGCGCAAATGATTTTTATACTCGGCCAGATTATGATCAATTGGATTCTGTTCGCTGCGCGAGAAGGAACAATTAACATTTGTTGTGCGTAGTAGTACATATAATTATAGTAACCCACTCCTTTGCATGGTAAATATCCAGAGATTGCTTGGCCAGCAGCCAGTAAAAGTAGCTCGCGTCCAGATAACGCTCCTCCACAATGGCCGTGATGCTCAGCTGCTTCAGCAGGCGATTGGCCTCCTTGGTTCGTCCCGCCTTCAGATAGGCTAGCAAAATAAAAGAAAAACTAATCAATTTTCGGTCTACAATTGGGTAGAGAGAGAGAGAGAGACTCACCCTGATGTGCCTCTATAAACTGATCGGTTTCGGCCAGCCATTGTCCATGCTGATAGTGCACCGTGGGCAGGAGCTGGGGCAACGATTCCGCCAGACGAAACGCCTCCGGCCAGTCCCGAACCTCCACGTGCAGCTGCACCACCTGAGCCTCGTCGCCGAGCTTTTTGAATATCTCAGCAGCCAGGGGCAGGGCTTTTAGAGTCTTCAAATTCTGCGCCACCGATTCCAAGGCATCGCGTTCGCTCAGGCTGAGGCGACGTCCGATATCGTAGAGACTAAAGCAAGCAATTCAGTAAGCAGACAATGCCAGGATCTATACTACTCTACTACTCACACATCCGCCCATCCCTGCTCGGCCACAATGTCGATGGCCTTTTGATTCTCGCCGGCCGAAAGCAGTAGCTCGGCAGCAGCTCGCGGCTCCTTCACAGAATAGGCCCATTCCGCTCGCTTGCGCACTAATTCCTTTTTCTCCTGTTCCGTGCCATCTCTGATATACTCCTGGGCCAGATCGAACATGCGCAGATCGGTGTACATCTCGAGGGCACGCGACGCCTGGCCACATTTGAGAAACAAGCGAGCGGCCTCCTTGAATTTGCCAGCAAAGGCACAGTTTTCGCCCAACAGGACCTCTTTGGGCACGGCCGAACGTTGCTGCTGGTCCCGCAGTTCGCTGATCAGCTTGAGCCACGGCAGATTCCTAACCTTGACATATGCATCGCGTGCTATATTGATATGCAGGGCTTCCAGGGCCGATTGGGCCAGTCCCTCCCAGTCGCCGGTGGTCACACCCAGGCAGGCCACCTGATAGGCTTCCCTAGAGGGTTAGAGATTCCAGTCAAGCTGAGTATATTCATTCCGAACGGTGATTCAACTTACTCAAACAGGCCTGCCTCAATGAACTGCCACATGGTGGAGCCCAAGGCCAGGGGAGTGTTGTGCATTATATTCCCGCGCAGACAAAAGGCCGTGGCCCCACACAGTCCCACCACCACGCCGTGCATATTCTGCGGTGCTCGAGGCGGCAAATTTCCGACTCTCACACTCAGGCCGCCGGTGGTGTGTGTGTAACAGAGCATCGTATCGAGATGCGTGTTCCAGGTGACGCTGTTCACGCCAGTGTCCTGATAGAGTATGGTGTCGTTGACAATATCCCGCACCACCAGTCGGCCCACATCATCCACCACAGCGATTTTGCTACGTTTGGCATTGATGTCCAAACAGCGGACCGCTGAGACGGCCGTCGTGATCAGCAGGGGCAGGGAGTTGTTGAGAAAGATGCGAAATACTTGACCATTCTTCAAGCCGACCATCAGACCTTCACGGCCCACTGGGCCGCCCGTCACCTTGATGTAGCGTATGAAGGAGTCCATTATCCACTCGCGTTGCAGAATGCCGCTAAAGTCCAGGCACTGTAGTCGCTTCTCCTGGCAGAGGACAATGTGGCGACCGCAGACCACCAGCAGGCTGCAGTCAAACTTCTGTTGAATCTTCTCCCTCACCTTGTAGTGCATCGGTTGATCCTCCCCGGAGCTCAGCTCGTACAGAACGACACGCTCTGGCAGCTGCACAGCCAAGCGATTGCGATAGATGGCTATTTTCTGGACCAGATCGCGGCACTTGATGCGCACCTTTTGGCCAGAGATCAGATGCTGAATGATCACGTCGCACATGTTCTCCCGAAATGCGTAGCGTTCCCTGTAGAGGGCGTGCACCGTGCTCGAGGCTATGTTGAAGCAGGCCAGCGTGCCATCCTGGCAGCCAATGGTGTACGACTGCCCGTTAGGATGCAGTGCCACGGACCATATCCACGTGTCGAAGCTGTCGCCCAAGGTGCCCAAGCGTATGCCCTCGCGCGTGAAGAAATGAAGTCCACCCGTGCAACCACCGACCAAGCAGAACTCGCCGTTGGGAAAGTATTGAAGGCAAATCGGATCGAAGCCGAGGGCTCGCTCCTTGCCTATCATTTGGCCACTGAGCGTGTGGAACGAGAGTGTTTGGCTCCAGTCCACCACGGCAATGGTGTCCACACTTCCTGGCCCCGTGGCTGGGCAGCATTGGACGCTAAATACGTTGCTATTGGGACCGCCCGGTCGATCGATGCGTCCCTTCTCCTCGCCCAACTTGTTGCGTATGGAGATTGTGCCGTTGGCCAAGCCCATGATCAGGTACTGGCCATCGTTTGTCCAAGAGCACCCATTTACACGAGCAGATATTTTGTACTTTTGCACAGCCTTCTGATCCGCCGACCAGAAGGCAAAATCGGACATCGAACAGGACGCCAAATGGTGCGAGACGGGATTGAAGCTCATGCATTGAATGGAATCGCCGTGACTGTATGGAAAGCAAGAGTATTAGACTTATTAAACCTACAAATCGTCATCAATTTCCACCACTTACGAGTACTTGAGTAGCCCTTCCAGTTGCGGCGACCATACAATGACCATTTTGTCCGAGGCTCCGCTGGCAAAGCGTTTGCCATCACGCGAATACGCCACACAGTTCACCGTGTCCTTGTGGGCCTTTAGCGTATTCAGCAGGGAACCATCGCTGGGATCATAGATGAGCAGACGATCGCCGGCGGCTACCACCAATTGGCTGCCATCCGGGGCGTAGCAAACGCTGTGTACGCTGAAAAAACGGGTTTTTTTTTCAGTGCAAGCAACAGGCTGTTAGCTCGGGGGAATGGAATACTCTACCTGGTCTCCCCATCCTTGGTGCTGGGGAACTCTATGCGCTCCAACCATTTCAGGACGCCACGCATTTTTGCACAGCCGAAAAGTGTCCTATTTTACTGCAGCTGAATAGTTCTGACCCATAAAAATAGTTTTCTTGATTTGTTTACAAATTGCGCTTCCATGACAACAAGAACAAAATGCACTTTTCAACACTATTGGCTATCGGCAGGCGAGTGTAATATCGTTATCGGTGGATTTACAAGTGTTTTTTCGTACATTTCAACAAAAATTAATACAATTAAGCTATAATTAGCTTGTTTGCAGTAAAATGAACAATCTAGATAGTTCATTGCAGGCGCACAACAAATTGGAAAAGGTAACAACAGTTGTCAAACCTGTGGACATATTTATAGTGATTTTTTAAAGGAAGCAACCAATTTGGCCAATTTGGCAACCAATTTGGATAAGTACCATGATCTCTCCACGCAAATGTCCAGCATTCTTACCATCTTTGAGAAGCGCCTTGGTAACCTAGAGCAAACTATATTGCCCGTGTATCAGGAAACGGAGCAGCTACAGAAGCGACAGCAAAGTAAGTCCCTTGTCCACATCAAACACATATATATCAAACTGGTCACCTCCTCTTTTTCAGACCTAGAGGCAACACTCAATTGCCTGGAGAGCGTACTCTCGCACTACGATGTCTCCCAGGAGGTGTGCCAGCTTATACATCAGGGGCCGCTGGAGGGAAACATATCCGTGTTTCTGGAGGCGCTGGCCAAGCTGCGCGCCGCCATGGACTACTTTTTGCACAACAATTCGCAAAGTGTGGAGCTGGAAAATGTCACCAGTCTCTTCAACACCGGCTGCGAGGGCCTGAACCAGCACTACAGCATGCTGCTGAAAAAGCACAGTGCCCCACTGAAGCCAGTGGAGCTGCTGGATCTCATCTACATTGAAGATGACTCATCCAGCGATGAGTACACCTCCTTTCGCCAACTGTCGCAGACCACCCGCGAGGAGTTGTTCACGATTTCGCACTGGCTGGAGCAGAACATGCGCGAGTACACCCACATCTATGCCACGGAGAGGGGGGATGTGGTGCTGCGCTCGCTGCAGCTGCTGAAAGATCATCAGAAGAGCAACAGCTGGGGCCACGAAGCTTTGGTGAGTACCGTAACCGAATGCAACTCTGCATTATTTGACACTTCGTGCAACGGGACAATGTCGAAAAAGTTTCCCAGTGCGCTTGGGCACCGCCATTGCTATTTTATCAGCGTGTTCTTGCCGTATCATTGTCCAAGTGTAATTGTCATTTAAATTCAATTGTGAAACAAAATGGAGGAATGCCGCACACCCACGCACAAGTCCAAATTTAACTTCAATCTCACTCCCACGATGCGGTGGAACCACCTGAATGTGAACACCTCGAATGTGCGTTGCTCCACGCCAATCACCGGCGCCTTCCGATCGCCCAACATGTCGCCCATACAGAGTATGCGCGCCCTGATGAGTCCCGCAAAGACCATGTTGGCCAAGACCTTCAAGAAGCCGCCGATGAAGAAATATATGCACCACTTGCACCGCACGGAGGTCGTAGCTCCAGTCGTCTTAATATCAAAGAGGCCGGAGGAAGGCCCCGGCCCAGAGGGGGAGCAGAAGAGCAACAGCAGCTCGGACACCTTCTCAGACGACTCAAATATTGACGCGTCGCTGTGCCGCGAGTCGCGTCGTCGCTCCGTGATGGCCTCTAATCACTCGTACGTGTTCAATCATGGATCCAATGTGGAGCAGGTCCTCGTGCATGTTGGCCTGGAGAAATATGTGGATAATTTCGAGAGGGCTCACATCGATTTGGTCGAGCTCGCCTCCATGGAGAGGGATGATTTAAAAAACATTGGCCTGTCCAACGATGAGGATTGTAATCGCATTTTGGATGTTCTAAAAACCCTCTAAGGGATCGCCCTAAGGTCGGATCGCTGGCGCATCCAAATCTCCAACCTAAGCTTAAGATTTTAATATGTGTTTTATGTACTCCCCCAAACAAAAAATCAAATAAATCTGTATTCAAACATTCAGAGAATGGAAATTCATTTGCGTGTTTCCTTTGGCCTACAAACAAATTGATTGTCGAACTTATTGCAGAGACCTCGCCACAGCGGACGCCAAGCGGAGCCCAAGAAGAACACCTCGGCGCGTCTGCAGCAAATGTAATAAGTGGAATCTATTCCCATTCCCTGAGCTTAACTAATTCCCAAATATATATTTCCTGCAGTTTCGAGAAGAAGGCCAACAAGCTGTATCTGCGGGCGACACAAACCATTGAGCAGTCGACTGGATTCTCCATTAAGAAGGCTTCATCCCATTCAGATCACTTGACCTCCGAGGACCTGCTGGATGGGGACCAGGAGCTGGACAAGTATCTGGTCATGCTGCTGGGCCTGCAGCGGCTGCTCAACTGGGAGCGAGCCATTATGCACGACATAATACCGCAGTCGAAGCACAACGAGGTCTTTGCCCGTCTCGCCTTCAATGCTATCGAGCTGGTGGTCAAGGATGCGGAGGCCATTACCCAGCGCATTCTGCGCTGCATCTCACGCAAGGAGTGGACCTCGGCCCTGGGTATATTTTCCGCTCTGAAGCGTGTCATACTGCTCCAGCCAGACATTGAGCGCACATACGATCCGGCTCAGCGGGAACAGCTCACCAAGGTGCTCAATAAACTGCAGCATACGGGCGCCAAGGCTTTGGAGCACTTCCTGGACGTGGTCAAGGGCGAATCGAGCACAAATATCGTCGGCCAGAGCAATGTGCCCAAGGATGCCACCGTTCACGAGCTGACCTCCAATACCATTTGGTTCATTGAGCATTTGTATGAGCACTTTGATGTGATTGGCTCCATACTGGCCCAGGATGTGCTCTACTCCACGCAGCTGGACACCATACTGATGAAGAAGGCGCTGCCTGGCGAGGAGCGCAACAAGGCTCTGCTGGCCATCTACATAAGTGAGTGGCAATGGCAATCTGTATTCCATAAATATATTTCCTCTCTATGCAGAGAAAGCGCTGGCGGAATTGAATCTGTCGATTATGAACAAGTGCGAGCAGTACAACGACCAGGCCACCAAGCATCTCTTTCGCCTCAACAACATCCACTATATCCTTAAGTCGCTGCAGCGCTCGAACCTCATTGATTTGGTGACGCTGGCGGAGCCGGATTGCGAGCACAGCTATCTGGAAATGATACGCGAACTGAAGGCCAGCTATCAGAAGACCTGGTCCAAGATGCTGCAGGGTATCTACTCCCTGGACGAGCTGCCCAAGCCAGTGGCTGGCAAAGTCAAGGACAAGGATCGCAGTGTGCTCAAGGAGCGATTTTCTGTATGTATATCGAATACATATATTGGAACTGCCGCTCTATTAATTGTTTAATCCCTTGCCAGAACTTTAACAAAGACTTTGAGGAGGCCTGCAAGATACAGCGGGGCATCTCCATACCCGATGTGATACTGCGCGAGGGCATCAAGCGTGACAATGTGGAGCACATTCTGCCCAAATACAATCGCTTCTTCGAGATGTAAGTCTGAGGATCCGATACTGATTGCAGAGAGTGTTCTCTCATGGTTTTTGTTCTTGACTTTCTCCGCAGGTATGCCGCCGTGCAATTTAGCAAGAATCCCGATAAATACGTCAGGTACCGGCCGCACGAGATAAATGCCATGCTGAGCAAACTCTTCGATGACTCCGCCTAGATGTGGTCGCGTGGCCAGGATTCCAGTGCATTCCGTTTGCTCGTAAGTTCGTTCGTTTCGTTTCGGTTCGGGGGGTTTAATTCAAAACTCAATAAATATCGCTTTAAAAAAATACAATACAAGACTCTAGCCTACAAATATTAAATGCCAAGTGAAATGAAGGCGCCACGATGCTGCGCTCCTCCCACCTCCACGCTAATACAGGAAATTAGTGGAGGGCGCCTCGGGGCGTCCACAGGCGCCATAGTGATGCACATCCACCGTGCTATTGGTGCGACAATTCTCAATGTCCAGGAAGCAGTCGTTCAGATATGTCTTGTTGTCGCTGCCGCAGACGGGCTCGAATTCCCTCGGACAGATGCGGGCACAACCCTTGAACTGGAAGGCGGCCAGGCACCGCTTGAGGGGCACCACAAACACATGCTTGCCACAGTTCTCCTTGCGCATGTGACACTCGGACTTGTAGAACTTGTTGTCCGATCCGCACACGAAATTCGGCGGCTGGGCATCGCAGTCCGAGTCACAGTCGGCGGTCAGGGCGCAGTTCTTCAGCGACACGGCCACCACACGCATGTTGCAGGTGCGTCGCTTGAATTCGCACATCGAGGCAAAGGTGTTGCCATCGGAGCCGCACACCGGCTGCTGTTCGAGGTCCGCACGGGTGCACGCATCGCCGCAATCTTTGCTGGGCGTGTTCAGATCCGTGCAGGGACCAATGTGGGCCAGATTAACGCCGCGCCTGCAAGCAGTCATTGCAGATTATGTTACTAAAGGTTATATACTGGCTGATGGGATGGGTGGATGCACTTACAGGCAGGTGGCATGGGCCAGCTCGCATTCATTGTTGTAGGTCTTGGCGTCCGTACCGCACAGCTTGTCCTTCCGCCTCGAGCTGAAGATGGAGCCAAACAGATTGTTAAAGTCCTTGCAGGGCGGCAGCTGCTTGCACCGAATCAGCCGATTCTTGCACTTGTCCATGCTCATCTTCTGAATGGACTTGCGTTGTGGCCTGACACAAGAGAAGACTTTAAGAATGGGAACTGGAAAAGGGTAATGTGACATTTACCCGCAGTTGAGCATCTTAAGCTCGCACAGGGAGGAGTAGATGTTGCCATCGCTGCCGCACACATACTGCGAGGGAGAATCCGCCTCGGCCTTGGGGCATGCGGTGGGACAGGCGTCCGCTGCATTGCCGTGCCGCTCCTGGGGCATGCAGAACGAGAGGGGCACCTCGAACACATGCTTGCCGCAGTTGGAGGAGCGCATCTTGCAGGGGCTGGCATAGAGGCGTCCGTCGGAGCCGCAGGTGGGTCTGGCCACGCGCCAGCACGACTCGCGGCACATCCTTGTCGACTGGCAGTGCTTGCGGCTGGTCTTCACCACACCCTGGCCGCACGTATGCAGCTTCATCTCGCACGTGGAGTTGTACACGTTCCCGTCGGAGGCACAGATGGGCCCGTCCTTGGGCGCGCTGTTGCAGTCCACGGGGCAGGACTCCCGAATGGCGCTCGTGTTGCTGCAGGGACCCACATGCGAGAGCTTGACGGCAGCCAGGCCCACGCGGCAGGACTGCACCCGCAGCATGCAGCGATTCAGATAGGTGCGGCCGTCGGTGCCGCACACGGGATCCTTCTCCGTGCTGCAGCGGTGCTTGCACTCGGAGCCCTTGGACCGCTCACAGCCCTCCCGCTCGTCCTTCACCAGCGAGACGCCATTGCGGGCGCACGTCTTCTTCCGCAGCTCGCAGAGATTTGCGTAGATCAGGCCATCGCTGCCGCACACCGGCTCTGCGCCGACCGTCAGACTGGGCGGACACGATCTCGGACAGCTGTTTGTGGTGCTGCTGGCCCGATTCTGCCTGCCCAGCTGCGCCTGCTGCTGCTGTTCGGTCTCCTCGCGCAGCAGACTCTCGAGGGCAGCGGCTGCTGCTCCTGGCGCCTGCATCAGGCTGGACGACAGCTCCGGCTGCGCATCCTGGCGGTAGTTGATCAGCAGCGAATCCGGCATGGCATCGGCACTGCGGTAACGTATGACAGGCGCCTGGACGGGCAGCTTGATGATCTTGATGGGTGAGTCTGTGACGGCGCCTAATTAGATTAGGGAAAAAGCGATAAGACACAGATTTATTAAGTAAGTTCCATAATTTCCAGGGTATCCCAACGTCGTCTACTGCGAGTCGAGTGGCTTGAGCATGCGGAAGAGGCATCGTGCGGCATACAAATTTAAGATTAGCTTCAGTCCGAAGAACATTTTGCGCAGTTGTGACCCACTGTCTGGGCTAGCTGAACTCTTACTCTGCCTCCGCTGCCAGCACTCCACCACCCCACCGCTCAATGATCGCATGACCGACTCATGTAACCCCCCATTAACCGGAATAATTTGGGAGTTTATGAAGCTGCTCCGTAGCCATTTCCATTGCCATTGTGGAGCGGGGGCTGGGTTCTTCTTTGATAACGGCCAACGGCAAACGGCAGATGGGAAATGGCAAATGTTGGCCCGTCTTTCGAGTGAGTCGATTCCAAGTACAATAAGACACACACAGACACACACACACAATGGAAAGGGGTAGCTATAGCTATCAGCGACCTCCATCTATAATTGTGTTCATGCTAATCCCTGCCAGAAATCGTAAGCTTAATCTGTGCTAAAAACTGCAAGTGAAATTTTCACACTAATTGCCTCCGGCCTCACAGATCGGACTTGGACTTGGAGCGGACTCGGGCCGGGGCCGCACCGGACCGGACCGAATGTTTCTGTTGTCTTTTGGTCGGATGTGGCTCCGTTGGTTTTGTTTGCAAAGAAAGCGGCGACGATACCGCCGCCTCCAGAGGAAGCGCTCACAGATACGATGCCCACACACACACACACACACACACTGGGGGCAGGCACACACAGAGAGATGGAGACGAAGCCACTCTGCCACACAGAGTAGAAAATCTATTAGCGCTCTTTGGGTCTCTGCCACGATTGTTTGGCTGCGATAATTGAACCCACGTTCATTATTCATTCCAATTTGTTTGGAACTGAGGATTTCAACATTTTCAGCATTCAACCAAAACGCAGCAGCAGCAGCAGCCAGCCAGCCATACATACTCGTATGTACATTCCCCGCTTAATGAATGGATGGACGCATGAATGCATGGAATGGAATGGAATGGGGCAGAGCAACCTCCAGTAGCCATTAAAGTTGATGAAAATTAAGCGGCGTTAGGGAATTAATGCAGATGTAAACGATCCACGGGGCAGACATTCATTCATTCATTCAGCATTAAAACTATGCGACCCCCAACCCCATGCTTTACCCATTCCTATACCCATGCCCACATTCTCCTACTGCTCCTACTGCTGCTGCTGCTGCTGCTGCTACTCCTCCTGCTGCCTATCGGATGCCATCAATTGCAAAAAAAAAAAAAGAGCGAAGCACAAACCGTATAATTTTCAAAAGTGGAAAAAGCCACCAACCAACCAACGCATTGCATTGCCCTGGGCCGAGGTTTGCTGCTGCTGCTGCTGGACATGGACTCTGGCAAGAGACATGATATGTGAGCTCTGCCGCTGCTGCTGCTGCTACTGCCCCCACACTACATAGTATCATGGACACAGCACAGTGGAAAGCTGAGTGCAGACCAAACTGTGATCAATCGAAGAACAATTGCCATGCCATACATCCATGAATCACTCTCCAAGTGATTTCGCAATTGATCAGGCAACCCCATTCCAACCCCATTAATTCACTGCTGAGGCTAATTGATCTTTCACCCATCAATCTCTGATTGATGTCAATTAATCGAAGAAACGATCATGTCGAGCAGCAGGCAAATCACTTGGGCCGGGCTACGCTCGGCGATCCGCTGCGATGCCCGAGGGTTCAACCTATAAATGAAACGCCCCTTTTCTACAAGGGCTCCCCCTCTGCAGAGGAGGCAATTTTCCGCTCGTTTCCACTGTGCGTGCGGCATCCATCCTCCCTACTTCTCCTCTGTGTGCCGGAGCATGCCTTTAATGAATTTATTTGAATGTTGGACAAATTGCGCACGAAAATATTTACGAGCATGTTGTGTGCGTGGTCTATACGGAGAGAGGGGGGAAGCCACAGAGGGAAGTGCTTGGCTTGGGTGTTTTGGGTAGCCTCTGTAGCTGCTGTAGCCTCTGTAGCTAGATATGTGTGCCAGTTTACATTCACTTTGTGGCACTACTTTCCGCACTACCGTACCTTAGAAATTAATAGCTGCTCTGACGACGGCCTTTCTTTCAGCACAGCTGGTGGGTCTATCTAGATCCGGGGACTGGGTCCCACAGATAACACCTTCCCTTCCCTGCCATCTTTTTTTTTGGGAGGATGGGGGGAATAAACCACTTTTCCTGCAGTGTAGCAGTGTGTAGTGACTTACCATTAGTGGTGGATGCCGCCAACATTAACATGGCCAGCAGTGCGCCAAACAGCTGGCGCTTAAGCCTTAACTGGGGATGTAGCTGACTCTGGATCTGGCTCTGGCTCTGGCTCTGGGGCCTTGTCTGTCTCTGGGGCTGGTACATTTTCACTGTCGACTGCACTTTCCTGCTGCTGCTGGTGATGTCTGGCTGTGGCTCTGGCTGCTTCGGCTGCTGCTGCTGCTGCTGATCCAACGACGTGTGCGTGACTACGGCGCTTTCGCTCGTTAACAATTGAAATAGTAGCAACTGTTGTTGTTGTTGTTGCTGTTGCTGTTGTTGTAGTTTATGCTCAAGTTCACTACCAGCTATGCGACGACGGCGGCAGCGGATCACGACACGACACGACTTTGGCTTGCGTTGAAATGAAGAAAGTTTTCCCTCGTCAGAGGTCTCCACCTTCCTGTCCAATGCCTTTGCCTATGCACACCACAAGACGCCTCTTAAACTGGTGCAAGATTACCGCAGAATCTGCTACTGCTTTCTGCTGCTTGCTTCTGCTGCTTGCTGCTGATGATGTTGCTTTGTCGCTCGATGACTCTCTTTCAACGATCGAATTAACGGTAGTCTTCTTGTGCCTCTCTCGCTTGTGGTCACCACACAGCTCTCTGCTCTGGCCTGGGGTCTGGCCCTTTTATGAGTTCATTCGTTGCCTATTTACTTCCCCCCTTTGATACCCTTCCCACTGCT